CATTCTAATAGTAGAATTTCTACACAGTGCAGAATGCAGAAATTTCAGGAAATCATAAATGAACAGAACAACAACAGACATTAGAAATAACACGTAAGACAACAAGGACAGTCTGATTTGGACTGACACACAAAGCGACAGGTACCTCGAACTGCTGCCGGTTCTGGCTTTTTGGGCACAGCTACAGGTGTGGGCTCTTCCAGAACACCTTTCTTGGGCACCTTGGGAACTTCAAAGATATTAGTGTATTTTAGTTCTGTGGGCACTGCAGATGTCCAGGTAACAAGAAGAGAACCAGAAGTAAATGCACGCAGACTTTTTTGGGACGGTGCTGTGGTTACATTCGGTCACCAGTGGAATGACCAGGGTGTCCAACACATCACACAGGAGATGGGAACTCTGTGTGTGGTCTCTGTTTCTTGGTCAGGGTGGGAATGTAGAAAATATATCTGGCTTCTTAGCAACAGATGATCAGAGATTCATTTGTGGAATCCTAATGCATTTGTGTACCAGCCATGATTCATAAATGTCTGTGTTTTGTGCTGGCTTAGGCAGTCATTGTCAACTTTTTACTTGCCACTTTACTATTACTATTTTCATCCTTCAGGCTAATTTCAACTTTCTTTTTCTGTCTGCATGTTTCCTCCCTTCTTTAACTTCTCATCTTTTCCCCCTGTCATCTCCTGGCTTTTATTCTTATCACTAGATGTTGCTTATAACTGTTTCCTTTTATATGAATTTCAATTATTTAAATAATTACCACTTTGAGGTGGTACTTCACTTGAGGGAATGTCATTATATTTCAGATGAAGAGAATCTGATGTCAGAGGAAATGTTTTCTCTGGCCAGAGCTTGGGAATTCTAAAGGAAATGAAATGATGCATCACTGCATCCATGTAGAGTGTCTTCATTTTAGTGTGCCTTTAGTAATTTTTTTGTATTTGAATTACAAATGCCTTTTTAAAGGCTCACTGTATTATATGCTCACAGTTGCTTTACAGGTCTTTAATGCTATTTATACAAAGTGACAGCTTTGCAAATCCTGTAGTCAAAAGTGTTTATGTATGACCAAAATACAGAAAAAAAATAAGAACAGTTTAAATAAAATATTCTGCTCTGTTATACAGATACATAGAGATATTTGCGATTCTTTTGCTCTGTGTACTGAAACTACTACTCTCTGCTGAAACAGAGTAGTCAAACAGAATAGTTTCTATTTTGTCTTTCCTCATGGAATCATTTAGGTTGAAAAAGATTTTAGGATTATCAAATCTAACAGTAAATATAACACTGCCCAGTCCCACTAAAACATGTATGAAGTCATGCCTACTAATAGTGTGAACAACTGTTTATGAACTCCTTCTCTTGTATCCATAAGATTTTGGCAGGTTTTTGGTAGACAGGAGTTTATCATATCTGCTTGATATGACATAAAGCCAGTATAACAAGAGTTTAGATGGTTTAAGCTGAAGAAACATTTCAGACCCCTGCACAGCAATTCATATTTGGCATATCTCTCCCACATTTTTGATATCAAAGTATGCAGGGAAAAACAAATTTAAACTGAGATTCATTTAAAATAACCCTAAAAAACAAACAACACCCTTTCTTATGATGATAATAGTGGTGACATGTACCTTTAGGAAGTGAAGCTTCTGGTTTTTTAGATAGAGCAGGGGGAACTTTCTTCTCTGGAACAGTCCTCTCAGCCATCTCAGGCACTTCAAAGATATTAGTACATTTCATTTTACAGTTACAATAAAACTCAGCATTAAATACAGAGACTGAAACATAGAGGACAACAGACACATTTTAAAGTAACAATTTAGCACACACTCACACTCAGTGTGATTTGGTTAGCAAGCATCATTTAAAACAGATCAAAAGCAACAGAACAAAAGAGGTTAAAACACGTTGCTTTGACTGATGTAGGTTTTGATTTTTCAGGAACAGCTAGAGAATTTTTCTTTTCTGGGACCGCTTTTTGGGCATTGCATGTTCTTTGAAGATATTAGTAGCTATTAGTTATTGTATTAAGCTTTAAAATGAGCAGTGAAACAACATACTCAAGGGAAGGAAAAGAGATCCTAGGCACAAGAGATACCTTTAGGTTGTGCAGCTGCTCGCTTTTTAGCAGCAACATGCTCTTCCTTTTCGGCCAGCTTGGCTGGTGGTGGTTCCTCCGGTGCCAAAATGAGCTCTGGTTCTTTGGATGCTGCTTCAGGCTTTGGTTTTCGAAGTGGTGTAGAAGGCTCTAGGCTTTGGGGTGCTAAAACAGTTTCTGGTTCCTCAGACACCATGACAGATTCTGACACAAAAGCCTTTGATTTTCTGGACACTGCAGAAGTCATTGACTTCCGGAAGTCTGCAGCAAAGTCTGTTTCTTCAGCTGCTGCAAACTCTGCTTTTTGGGACCGCACAAAATGTTTTGTTTTGGGGGGCACCACAACACGCTTTGATTTTTGAGTTGATTCAACTGTCTCTGACTCCTCAGACACCAGTATGAGCTCATATTCCTCAGGGACCATAAATGGTTCTGGTTTTCTTGATTTCTGGGATTCCAGAACCGGCTTGTGTTCTGGGGGCATCACATATTTTAACTTTTGGGGTGGCACATCAGGCATGGGTTCCTCAGGTGCCACATCAAATTCTTGCCTCTCAAGCACTACAACATGTTCAAATTTTTGGGATTCCACAATGGGCTTCTGTTTTGGGGGCATCACGCCATATTTGAGTTTTTGGGGTTCTTCATCAGGCATGAGTTCCTCAGATACCACAACAAACTCTGGTTTCTCAAGCACTACAGTATGTGCTACTTTTTGGTATTCCACAACAGGTGTCTGTTTTGGGGGCATCACACCATATTTGAGCTTTTGGGGTTCTACATGAGGAATAGGTTCCTCAGGTGCCACAACAAATTCTTGTTTCTCAAGCACTACAGTATGTGCTACTTTTTGGGATTCCACAATCGGCTTCTGTTTTGGGTGCATCACACCATATTTGAGCTTTTGGGGTTCTACATGAGGAATAGGTTCCTCAGGTGCCACAACAAACTCTTGTTTCTCAAGCACTACAACATGTGCTAGTTTCTGGGATTCCACAACAGGCTTCTCTTCTGGGGGCATCACACCATATTTGAGTTTTTGGGATGCCACATCAGGCTTGGGTTCCTCAGGTACCACAACAAACTCTGGCTTCTCGGGCACTTCAACACGCTTTGGTTTTTGGGATTCCACAGTGGGCTTCTGTTTTGGGGGCATCATGCCATATTTGAGTTTTTGGGGTTCTACCTCAGGCATGGGTTCCTCAGGTGCCACAACAAATTCTTGTTTCTCAAGCACTACAGTATGTGCTACTTTTTGGTATTCCACAACAGGTGTCTGTTTTGGGTGCATCACACCATATTTGAGTTTTTCAGGTTCTACATGAGGAATAGGTTCCTCAGGTGCCACAACAAACTCTTGCTTCTCAAGCACTACAGTATGTGCTACTTTTTGGGATTCCACAACAGGTGTCTGTTTTGGGTGCATCACACCATATTTGAGTTTTTCAGGTTCTACATGAGGAATAGGTTCCTCAGGTGCCACAACAAATTCTTGTTTCTCAAGCACTACAGTATGTGCTACTTTTTGGGATTCCACCATCGGCTTCTGTTTTGGGGGCATCACACCATATTTGAGCTTTTGGGGTTCTACATGAGGAATAGGTTCCTCAGGTGCCACAACAAATTCTTGTTTCTCAAGCACTACAGTATGTGCTACTTTTTGGGATTCCACAACAGGTGTCTGTTTTGGGTGCATCACACCATATGGTTCTACATGAGGAATAGGTTCCTCAGGTGCCACAACAAACTCTTGCTTCTCAAGCACTACAGTATGTGCTACTTTTTGGGATTCCACAGTGGGCTTCTGTTTTGGGGGCATCACACCATATTTGAGTTTTTGGGATGCCACATCAGGCTTGGGTTCCTCAGGTTTCTCAGGCATTACAATATGCTCTGTTTTTTGAGATGCTACAATAGATTCTGATTTTTGGTATGTCAAAACAGTCTCAGGCTCCTCAGATGTCAGAACATGCTCTAGTTTTTGAACTGCCTTTACAGGCTTTAGTTTTCGGGCCACTTCAGGTTCTTGCAGTTCCACCTCTTGATGCTTTGGTTTTGTGCGTCCTGCAATGGACTTTGGTTCTCGAGAAACTGGAACAGGTACTTTCTTTTCTGGCAAAGTTGTCTTGGTTGCTTTACGTACATAAAAGATATTAGTTCTAAATTTAACAACTGCACTGACAATCATACCAAAATTAAGCCAACCATAAAACATAAAAGACAATTGTAATAAAAATATTAAATGCATATCAGGTATCAATCATTTATGCTGGCCTTTTAAGTGATGAATATAAGACTTTGGCTTTTCTCTCTTTTCTTTCAATGGTACATACACACACTCCACCTCACAAAACTCATGCTCCCATATGGAAGTACACACATGCACTAATAATATAACTTAAGATATAAGTAAAAGCCATGATAATTGTCAACAGAATGGACAGGACAAAAGATATTAATTGTACTTCAGGCATTAAAGTGAAGATTCTTTCAAGAAACAGAGGTGATGGCGTCTAGTTTTTCTTGGTGGAGCTTTGTTTTTTTCAATTAAATTGATAACTTAGCTACTAGAATGGGTACTTCATTTTCTTCTCCTATTATAACTTTCATTAGCTGTGGTGGCTTTCATGAACCCAAGCAGGTAGAACAGCAAGAATATGCAAAGATAGTAGGAAGAACCGAAGAAGAGTGATGGTAAGAGTAACATACAAGCAATTCAGACATCCAAGATTTGGCAGTATTTTTTCAATAACAACCATATGTGTCTGTTTCACACATATATGCAGATAAATAGAACAAGCATAATCTAGAACTTCAGGAAACAGAAGGATAATTACAATGTTAAAGAAAAGATGAAAAACAATACTTTTGTTATTTTATTAATGTTGAGATTTACCTTCCTTTGGTGGGAGTTCTGGTTCTTCAGGTGCAGCCTCTGGTTCTGGGACAACCACAGGTTCTGGTATTTTTTGCACAGGTATTTTCTTTTCTGGAACAACTTTCTTCGGCACCTCAGGTTCTTTAAAGATATTTGTTTGTTTTAATTTCAGGAATTTGAAGAATAGGAATTAAAAAGACAATAATAACTCCAAAGTAAAGAAAAAAAATACATAACAGCATCAGAATAAAGCCCACCCTTATAAACAATTTGGTTGTTTTGTTGTTTTGGTTTTTTTTTCCATATTGCTTTACACACACTATTAGTAGCCACTGTTACTGAGAGCTATTCAAAAAGGAAGAAGACCACAAAGTCTTTAACACTTATATTACATAAACTATACAAAAAAAGCTGCTAACACAAACGTAGGAAAGATAATACTTAGAGAAACATAAAATTTGCCTAAAATTTGTATGCAGTCTTATTACTATTGAATATATACCTTTGGGTGGTGGAGGTTCTGGTTTTTTAGGAACTTCAATGTGTATTTTTTCTTCTGAAACCACTTTCTTGGGCACCTCAGGAACTTTAAAAAAAAAGCAGTTAATTTTATATATGTATATCTGCAGTGTTCAGACATTAAGAAAAAGTAAATCTCAGGGGCATCAGAAGCAGGAGTGGTTTTGGATGCAAATACATAATTTCTCCATTCCCTAGAGAAAATTTTGTTGTCTCACTCAGTTACAGATGCAAAAACCACAACTGAAACAACAAAAATATTTTATAAGACATTAATAGTAGAAGTAAATTACCATGATGTTAAAATGGTACTGTAGACAGTTAAGGGGTTTACTTTCCTTGCATACAATTACTCTTAGTCTCTGGACATTCTGGTTTCTTTGATACTTTAACTGAAACCTGTTATGGGACCAGTTCCTTTTGTACCTTAGAAACTTGACAAATATCAATAACTTTGTGGTATCAGAATTTCATAAACAACACTAAAGCATAACAGCAGATCACTCTTAGTGAAAACACCAACTACAAAGATCTATTTTTTCACTCAAAACATTTTCTCACTTGAAAAGCCTTTGACAACAAAAGAAAATGCAAACAGAGGTCTTGAATACTGTCTTCTATATTGTTAAAATAAGAAAAGAATATTTTTCTTTTGGGTCTGTACTTTAGTCATATTGTCAAGAATCTTTAGCTGGTATAACTTGTGACTTTAGCTGGTATAACTTGTGAGGTTTTAAGCACAGCAAATTTGATTTTTTTTTTGTTTTGCATATACTTCCTTGGGTCCTTCAGGCCCTTTAGGAAAGAGATTATTTTCTGTTGTTATACGGAGTTTTACAGTTATGTTCAAAACCTTTCAGCAGAAATTGCCAAGGTTCTTAATAAAACCTCTGATTTGACTTGTTTATTGTTTTAAGGTTATTTTATGTCCCTGTAAAGTCTCAGGGAGCATCTCAGAGTCTTCTTGAGTTTCTTCTTCTACATCAGATTATTTTTCCTTTTTATTCAAACATCTCCCAAATTTCTATTTGGAGACTGAGATTGTCCATTTTGTATTCCTTGACACATTCTTCTACGTGTGATGACTTCTTGTTATCAAATTTTTGTCTATGAAAACTTGTCTACACAAGTTTTTCTTCTATATTACACGTCTATCAATCATTCTACGCTCTCTCTTGGGGCTAGGTTTTCATTGTCAGTCAGGACTATTTCACATCACAGAGGCCCTCTTTTCTTCTCTTAAGATTTCTGCTATTGTTCTCAAGTGTCAATCTCCTTTCTGCTCAGCCACATCAATATTTCTAACACACTGGTACAGATTACAGCTACGATTCAAAAGAGAAGAGTTTTAAACACAGTAACATATATAGAATTATATGGGCACAGAAAGTAAAAGTAACAGGAAAACACAAACAAGCAATCAGATAACTAATATGCACAATCAAGATAGAAGTTTTTTTCCTCTTCCAAATTTTAGTTTTCTGTAGTGCAACATACCTTTGGGTGGTGGTGGTTCTGGCTTTTTAGGGACAGCAGTGGGAACTTTCTCTTCTGGAATTTTCTTGGGCACCTCTGGAACTTTAAAGAAAACAGCATTCATTTTTTAAAATTAAAGCATTTAAAACATGTACATGGTAAAGAAGAAAGAGTATCACAAGAAGCATATCAGAAAGAAATGAAAGACATAAAGATGTCATGCAAAAACTGTTATAGACTATTACATACTTAGGGTTTTGATAAATGAGTTTTTCTATAAACTCTAATGCTCAAGAGAAAAATATCCTCCTCCAAAATATACTATTATTGACATATAAGCTTTAGGTAGTGTTACACTTGATTTTTTTAAGTATAACAATATTTATTGATTTCTTAGGTATCTTGTACGCTTCAAAGATATTAGTGTAGTTTTAAAAATGACAAAAATTAAACATTCAATGCAGAGACATACGACAAAACACATAAATATATAAGGATGTGACAAAACAAGTAGTTGCATAAGGATGCTTTGACAACAGTTACAACTTCTGAGAAGTCTTCATGGTTCTACTCCTCTGGCAAAGAATAAGTTGCAAGTGACTTTGCTGGGGATCTTTTATCATCCAGTTTTAGATTTCCTATTCTCCCCATAAAGATGAAAACAAGCTAAAGAAGTTAAGGCAAAAGTTGAACTTCAATGAAATGCCTTTTAAATGTCAATTAACTTCAATGAAATGCCTCTTAAATACCACACATAATCATAAGATGATTGGCAGCACTATGTGATAATGACTAGGGTGGGATAAGCTGTGCTGCCATTGGCTTGACAGTTTTGAATGCCACTCAAACTGCTACTTCAGACAAACTTTTAAAATACCTGAATGAATTCTAACAGCTGGTTTCTGTGCAAGTTCTATTTCCATTCAAAACTAAATCAACTGACCCCTAAGTTTAAAATGAGCAATGAGGAGCAGAGGGAGAGGATGTACTTCTTGCTAGAGTATGATCAAATTTCTGAGGCTGTCCCCATGAAGTGAAAACATTCTGAAATCTGATTTCTGAGTGAAAATCTCACTGCGTCTTAGCATGGCTAGAGCTTTCCTTATTTCTGTTCCCTTTTATAGCTTCTGATGCAATTTCTGGGTTACTCTTGGATAGAATGAATAGATAAATGCAACCAATTTTTAATGCTTTGACAACTACAGCACAAGGCACAGAAGAAACTTATAGAAAAAGAATGAAAGGATATGCTGACCTATCCTTTAGGCAGCTTCTGGCTTTCTAAGCAGAGTTTTTCTTCAGGAATACTTTTTTTAGACAATTCAGACACTTGAAAACTATTTACTCATTTTCATTTTGATTTTATGACTTAAACACTACTTGAGAAACAGAAAACAGAAAATAGGACATATACAACATAAACACCACAAATCTGACATGTGGACCATGAAGTATGAAATCAGAAACTATGTAAGAAACAGTAAAAAAGTAAAAATGTTTATCAGGGAAAGACCTCAGTTCTGCCTCAAAGTACCTTTGGATGGTGGAGATTCTGGTCTTTTAGGCACAGGAGTAGGCTCTGGTTTTTTAGGCATAGCAATAGGTACTTTTTCTTCTGGAACAGCTTTCCTAATAGCTGCAGGCACTTTAAAGATATTAGTTCAGTTTAATGAGAGGAAGAAATGTCATGAAAAATCTCAAGTTTTTCATATAAGTAAGGTACTGAAAGAATGAATAGAAATATTAATTATGCTGGACAAGGACTAAAACAAAAACATGAAAATTTAATTTTCTTGTAGTTCAACACTCAGCAACTTGTAGGAAAAGATGATGAAGAAGTCATATACCTCTAGGTGCTGGAGCCTCCTCCTTCCTATGAACAGTAGAAATTTCTTCTTCTATGTGAATCTCCTCGTAAACTTCACGTACTTGAAAGATATTAGTTTAAACACTTAGAATATCTCCAGAAAACAAGACAACATGTGAGATAAATAACAAATACAATCAAATAGTCAAGCTCCTCTGAAGGTATACAGGTCTATTTTATATCCATGTGCAAAATTAGGATGCTTTCAAATAAGGAATGAAAAACCTCTCATATTCTACCCTGACTTGACCTCTGCAGTTTGTCAGAAGAAAGATGTGTGATGTGTTCTAAACTGAGTTACTACTTAAAGTGCAGAGATAAGCCCTGTCAAAGTTCTGTCACATTTTCTTTATTTTTTTCCCCTTTGGACAGATCTCAGGTAGTACTTAAAATTAAGAGCAACTACTGGTCATATTTTTTAAATTAATTTTTACTGTTGCAAGTAACCAAAGCTGTTAAGTAAACTCTAGTTCATGATAAACAGAATGTTCTCGAAATAATTTATATGTGAAAACATATTTTTTATATCCTTCAAATCATACATAAAATTTCTTATACCTGTAACGTGTGAAGGTTCTTCTTTGGGTACAGCAGGAGGTATTTTTTCTTTGTGGACAGCTTTCTTTCGTACTTCAGAAACTTAAAAATATTGGTTTATTTTAGAAATTTGCATTATGAAATCGGTAATACAGTTTTGTAAAATAATTAATTAAATTGACTAGAACAATAGGAAAAATATATGGCATTGAGATGTGAATAAAACCCAACAACTTCATCTTCTGAAGTCTGTTTTTTCTCTAACTCCTAGTACTTATGTTTCTGAATATGCTCTTCTCTGAAAAGGTAGTAGAGGTTTTTTATGTTAGGGCTTTTGTTTGTTTGTGGTATGTTTTTGTGTGTGTGTGTATGTGTGTGTATAAGGACTTCCGGCACTAAAAAGGGTTTTATTTTTTGAAATTTAAAAATTACCCATAAAAGCAAGGTAAAAATCCAGTTCAATTAAGTAATTATTAGGCTTCCAATGTGTATAGAGCTCTTCAGTTCTGGAATTGTGTAACAAAATTATGTTTCTATTAAAAATTTTGTGGCTTTCTATTTTGTCCTGATTTAAAGTTGTACTTTAACCTTAACTTTCTTTAAGCCCTTGATATGACTGCAAAGAGTCCTTTTGCAAATAAATTTCTCTTACAACCTTTTAGATTTTTTTTTTCCAATATATTGTTAGAGAAAGTATTTTGAGAAATTGAACAAGAGACATGAAGTAAAAAAAATAAAACTAATCCCTGTCTAATCCCTGAATCTCCTGCATACTAAATTTCTGTGTCTAATTTAGTCTTCCTAAATTTTAAGTTCTTGATGCAGAATGTATCATTCTGTTTAAGCAACTTATAGGAGCTTATAGAAAAAAAAAGCTTTTTCAAAAAAAATTGAAATGTAAAGTGTTTATAGCATCTGGTTGTGTTGTTTAAGGAGAACAAGCAAGCTGAATTTCTCCCTTGGTATCTCACTTTCATAAGAGGTTAGAGAGAGTTAATTTGGAGGTAATGTACCTTTAGCTGGAGGAGCTTCTTCTGTAGGTACAGCAGCAGGTATTTTCTTAAGTGGGATAGTTTTCTTTGTCACTGCAGACATTTCAAAGATGTTACATTTTTAAAATAACATTATAATACACAAAGTGTAAGTAGCAAAGAAGTAATGACAAACATAGCACTAAGGAAACATTAGAATGAAAACATTAAATAACAGATTAGCACACAGATGGAATGATGAAGATGAATAATTTGTTGGAATGTGTTGCTTTACAGATTGCTTGAAGAGTTGGTTTACCTTTAGCTGCTGGAGCTTCTGGTTCACTAGGAGTAATAAAAGGCATCTTTTCTTCTATTGGAACTTCTTCATAAACTTCAGGTTCTTTAAAGATATTAGTTTATTTTACATATTTTAATATTAGTTACAAGACAGGAGTAGAAAGACAAAATAAAAACATGCAGAAATGCATATGGACAAAGAGCTGTTTGAACATAAGTTATTTAAATATCTTTCAGTGTGACCATTGACTCACTACTTCTAGAAGTTACCATTCGTATTTAGTAAAATATATGTTTACAGATATATTTAATTTTATTTTCTAGTTTCTTAGTTCTGTGTATTAAATAGAATTTGTAACTGGATTTCATATGTCTTCATTTGGAGTTAATTACCTCCATTGCAACTCAAAAATTAGGTGTTGCTCAAGACAGCTCTTAAACTTCTGTCTGCTTAAGTTCATTTCTTTGCTCCAGTGTGACTCAAGTGCTTCCTGAATCAGAAACTTTGTTTCTCTCTTATGTGTCTTTTTCACATCATCAGAGGAAAAAAAGTACAGCATTTTCAAAATGCTAAACTCCATTTTTACATTTAGTGTAACATTTTAAAGTTTTTAAAATGCTGAATTATATCTAAATTTGTGGATGTAGATGGTCTAAAAGGTATGTATATAAGCTTCTTCTAAATAGTTTTAAGAATTAATTATAAAATCTCATATTTTGCAGAACAATATAGAGCTTGACTTGTATCTTCTCTGAATGTATGTTCTCTGAAATTTACTATTTGGTAGATGTGTCATTGATGTACCTTCATAAAAAGGAGGCTCCTCTTCTCTAGGGATAATGGTGGGTACTTTCTCTTCAAGGACAGCTCTCTTATGAAACTCAGGAACTTCAAAGATATTAGCTTTCTTTTAGTAATTTCAAAGCAGTTTTCAACTTTTAATACCCCAAACAGAAATAAACCCAGAAAACTAAGTAGTATTGAGGTCTTGGAAACTTTTCAGGAATTAAATATGATACAGTTCCAGAACTATCTTCCTGGAACAATGGACTGTGTGAAGAAATTTATGGTTTCAACTCTCAAAGATAGTTTTATGGAATTGTCATGCTCTTCCTTCTGGTTGGTGTAACAGCTTTAATAGCTTTAACTTACTGGCTCTTGCCCTATTACTTCTTCACCAATAACATGACCTGTGAATTGGTATCAAAACCCCAGTTTAAACTAAATTCACAACTATATTTTAAATAGAAAAGCACTGAAGCTTTACATACTGGTGGTGTAAGCAGCAATACCCCCTCAGCATGTTTTCATTCATAATTCAATGCTTTACTGTCTAGCACATATGGGTAATGTTTGCCCCAGAATTTGGGATTTATCACTGAGGTTTCAATCTCCACTTAGAGACTGGGTACTCTTGCAGTAGTGTGAAGAATGTGACAATTTTTAATAATGTTAGCTGGGAAAAATGACACAAATATTTCCTTTCCTAATATTTCATAGCAAAAGCTCCTTTACCTTTCTTTGGTGGAGCTTCTATTTCAGGTGTACGTGTAGGTTTCTTTTCTTCAGGGACAGGTCTTTTGAGATCATCTCGCCCTTTAAGATACAATTTATTTTTAGGGCTTTCAAAGCTACTTGAAAGAAGTTAAAAAGAAGAAGAGCAAGTCTAACAAGGAAGATTCTTGAAAGATCAAATAATTAAATCCTTCCTGAAAGAACATTTATGTTAATTTTGAATATTAGAAAGAAAAATAACATTAAAAAATACTTTCTTGAAAGATTTCAGAAGAAATAAGGACATTATTTCTTTCTGAACTACTTTCATGTGAAAGTTAATGACAGAACACACATTTTTTAAGTGACTTTAACACATTTTCAACAAATGACTTGAAACCAACAGACAAAAAAGACTCAATGACAGATGAAAAAAACAAACACTGTGGGGACGTAAAACATATGCACATGTTTCTCAACAAATAATGAAGACAAAAGATTGAATTTTGAGTTCATGTTTCACAAGCACAATGAAGAGGAAGTATACCTTTAGCTGGTGGAGGCATTTCCTTTTTAGGAATAGCAGGTGGTGCTTTTTCTTTTGGAACAGGTTTCTTTGGCACTGCTGGCACTTTAAAGACATTGGTAGTTTTTTAAAGCACGTTTGCAGTATAAGTATTATGTAAGAATAGAAGTTCAACAAAAAGAAAACAATGCAAAGAGTCAGAAAACTTAGCAAAACATAAAAATATTTCTTAAACACATAAATACATGTAATAGAAAAGAGGCTACCTGGACTATTTTGCTTGGATTAATGCAGCTACAGTTTCAGTATTCAGTGAAACAAAAACAACTGCTGTTGTTGGATAAATTCTGGATAGGGATAAGCCTTAACAGTTAGGTTTCATGTACAATCAGCTCCAATTAATGGCAGCTGGGAATATAGTAAGGTTTCAATTTCCTATCAATTAACTCCAAGCTTTGCTGTGAAAACAAACAAGCAAACTAATCCACCTTTTCCCACTGATTACATTCTGACAATTTGTATGAGCAATAGCTATTAAAGCTAGTAAAAAACTAATTTCTGGCAAATTAGTGCTTTGAAAAGAAAATTACAGAACTCTGGACCAGTGCAGTAACTTCTCTAGCTCTCGCTGACAATTGCAATTCATGACACTTATGTTTCATAAAGCCTGATACAGAGAATACCCATTAAGATAGCACACACTCCAGCACATCATTAGGTTAAAGAAAGTTCTAGTCTTTGAGGATTCTGCAGGAAACTAGAATTTCAGTGATTTATTAGAAAATATGACTTGTGTTCTTATGGAAAAAATTAAACTAAGGTACTAATTTCATTCCCTTTGTCTCCAGGAACTCATTTGTTTGGTTTTTGTTTTGTTAAAGAAATATATTTTTTTTAGTAATTTCTTTAACAGTAGTGTGAAAGAGAGCTAAGAGTCTAGCAGACAAATCAGAATAGGTACAATGCTGGATTTGGGGATTCAGAGGCTCATGCAGAAGGCTATGTTTTCAGATTTATCTGATGGATGATATACCTTTAGCTGGTGGAGCTTCTCTTTTAAGAGCAGGTACTTTTTCTTCTGGCAGAGGTCTTTTGGGCAACTCAGGCACTTAAAAAAATATGTCATTATGGATTATAAGTTACTTGTGAAGAAACAGGCATAAAGACAGCAAGCAGAGCAATCACTCATTTGCAGAGGAACCATCTCATCATTTATACAGAAAAAAGGGAGCAGTCATCTCAAAATTCTTGAATAATGAAATAAGAAATAACAATGTACATCTTTTTTGTACATTGTAGATGCACTTTCTCTTTGGTGTGAGTTATATGGTGTGGCCATAAAGTTATGACCATAAATTTAAATTATGGGAAAGAAGGTTCTACATGAGTCTTATTATCTTTGTAACTCAAAGGAGCTAAACTGGACAAAATAATTAAATATTAATGCATAAAAAGTAATTCAGGTTGCAGCTGAATTACTTCAGAAGATTAACATTTTCTCAGCTTGTGTTATATCTCCACTAGTTCACTCTTGGGCAGTCAGATAGGGAACCCTCCCATTTTACAGGGAAGGGAATTCTTTAGGAAGGACTAGGATAGAGACAATCTTTGAACTGATTTATCATTACCAGCAACAGACACACATAGGACTACAAACAAGGCAAAATATAAATGAACACCCATAGGAGGCTTAAGCAGTAACTGAAAACTCAACACACTATAAGAACAAAGGAGTCATGACTTGATTTACCTATAGCTGGTTTGGTCTCATAAGCCTCCTCATATACCTCCTCATACTTCTCATAGATCTCTTCCTTCTCCTTAAACTCATACTTTTCATAGACATCTTTCTCCTCAGCCTCTGCTTCATATTCCTGTTCCAGAATTTCCTTATATCCCTCAGGTTCTTCAGGTTCCTCGTATGCCTCAATTTCTTCAGCTTCCTGAATTTTCTCAAACTCTTCAATGCTTTCGTATGCCTCATACTTCTCATATTCTTCATAGGCATACTCATACTTCTCCACCACAGGTGCAGGAACTTTTTCTTTCCGTACAAGTTTCTTGGATACTTCAGGCACTTTGGAAACAGTATTATTGTTACTACCTAACAATTATTTAATTTTATTTTTTTTACAGTTAGGCAAGATAATTGACAAAGAACAGAGAATGCGCATGAAAACCTCAAGCATAAGTCATATTAAATTATAAAACTGTGCTTCTGAAAATATATATATAATAAAAGATTTTAGAATTAGAAGGAAAAAATATATTTGGGAGAAATAAGAAGAAATATATCTGTACCTTTGGTTGGTGTCGGTTCTTTGGGCTTGGGCACAACAACTTGCACTTTCTCTTCTGCCACAGCTCTTTTACGCACCTCCGTGACTTTAAAGATACAGATTTTGTTTAGGAATTTAAAAACACCAAATCAACTTAGAGCAGTGTAAGCAGAAAAGCACAAGGAACAGAGCTTTATGGTTCAACAATACAAACATTGAAAATGAAGAGTTTTAACATAAATTCGAACAAATATCTTGTACAACAGAGACAAAAGTTAGAAAGAAGAAGGCCAAGGGTTTTCCTAGCATAAATACTAATTATAAGGAGTACATATACCTTTTGAAGCTGGAACTTCCACTTTTTCAGCGGGAGCAACCAGCACCTTCTCTTCAGGAGCAACCTTCTTAGGCACCTTGGGTACTTTAAAGATAAGACCTAACTTCAGTGTGTACTTTTGCACAGTTTTTAAATGGACACAAAACCAGAAGGTAACAAACAACAGAGCAGAAACTTACAAACAAACAAATCGTATAGTGACAAATACAATACAGGACAAAAATACTGAAGTGTCCCTTGCAAAACTCAACTTGCATCAAGAATATTGTCAGTTAACTGTAACAGCATTTACAATCTGCAGTACCTTTGGCTGATGGAGCTGGCACCTTTTTAGGAACAGGTTCTTTCACTTCAGGAATTGGTTTCTTAGGCATCTCAGGCACTTTAAAAACATTTTATTTTAAGAATGTCATCCACCAGTAGTATGAGAAAGAGAACAGAAAACATGTACAAAGAGACATAAAAAGAACTGTTCTGCAGAATATATTTTTAAAAGATGAAACAGAAATTTAAACAGAAGACATTACATACACGGGCAAACTTCTTGAGCAACTCAAATAAATTTAGAGCTTGTTTTGTGCTAGGAATTTGACAGGAGCTCTGAGATACCAATACAGAAATGCAGCAGAGACACAAAGCTAACATAAAAACCAAACTAAACAGAGACACTTAATAAGAATAACAGTACACTGTTAACTTATGCACCTTTTGCTGGAGGAAGCTCCAGTTTCTCAGGTGGAGGTACAGGTGTTTTTTCCTTTGGGACTGGTTTCTTAGGAATCTCTGGCTCTTTAAAGATATTATTTTGCAAACACATGTTAAAAAAGCTTTCAAAGCAGTAAAAGCGTGAACATGGAAACAAGATAAAAACTGAACAAGACCACAAAATCCCCCCAAAACATATATAAGAGTTACATAAAACTTAGAATAAGAAATAGAGATGAATTTTAATGAACACAAAAGATGTCATGAGTGACTTGCAAGAAAAGATCATGTACCTTTTTCTGGTACAATTTCCTCTGGAATAAATTCTTCTTCTTCTTCCTCAGGAGCAAAAATGGGAACCTTTTCTTCAGACACAACTTTCTTTGCAACCTCAGGCACTTTGAAGATATTATTTTAAGAACTTTACTTTCACAACATCACAAAGAAAAATCCATAACATAAAACACAAAGACACCAACTTTAAAGTAACAAGAGAAATAAAAATAAGGGAAACTACTGGATATTTTTTACTCCCTGAAAACAACAATGTGTAATAGGGTTACAAGGATTATATGAGGATTAGAACTTTTGTCCAATTTTTAATTCCACAGTGTCATTGCAAACAGAATATATTAGCAAGATATGCTGCAAACCAGAGGCTAAAGAAGATTATTACCATTAAAGTTTTTTACATAAAAGCCTTTCAGTGTCTGCTTTTATTTTTCTTTCTTCCTTTTTTTTTTTTCTTTAAATACTCAGCTGCTGAGGTAGAATCTGCTTGGCATCCAACAGTGGCCTTTGCAATAGTCTACCTCCATTTTGAATTTCTCATTTAGGGTATAGGATCTGGTTACTAGCAGGATCAGTTGTAAATTGATGTTATTTTTGTAAAAATTTAGCTAAAACCCTTGAGAATCTAGCTTATTCTCAAGGTACACATAAGATTGTTCTCCCTAAATTGAAGAATTTCCAAGGGCCATAAAATTTAATCACAGCCATTTTGCTTAAAGAAAATTTAAATTACTTTAAAAATTATTTCTGGATGATAATATCACAAGGAATTATTTCATTCACGGTAATCACTTAAAGTGGAAAAAAAGCAGATAATTAAAGGCCTGATTCTCAGCCAGCTGCAGTCGATAACAAAAATAGACAAGCCCTGTTTGAGCCCTAGCACTGCTCACTACAGGGAAGCAGCAGAGCGCTATAATCAAGGACCTGAATTCACATGAGTATTAATTTAATGTTAAAATTAGGTTCCACTGAAATTTGAAAATAAGAGGGTGAGGAATTATCTGCATATGCCACGATGTGATATACCTTTAGCTGGTGGAATTTTCTTTACTTTAGGAACTGCAACAGGTACTTTTTCTTCTGGGACAGCTCTCCTGGGCACCTCTGGCACTTTAAAGATATTGTTTAGGTAAGAAATTGGTATTTGCTTTTAGAGCATCAAAACAACTAAAACTAGAAAAACAAAGTCACAAAGACCAGAAAGAAGAAGAAAACTTCTCTCAGAAGGTTAATTACATCAAGCTTAAAGTAATCACTGGAGATGAAGAACTATAAATGAATTGAACAGAGCTCTCATAATCTTCAAGAAGGAATGCTGTACCTCTCATTGGTATCTCTGGAACCTTTTCCTCTTCTTCTTCAGGAGCAAAAACAGGTACCTCTTCACTGGGACGTCTTGGTATTTCTGGCACTTTAAAGATAGTTTTTAATTGTAGAGAACTTAGACACAACTTACACAGAAGCTGAAGAGTGTGAATTAGCAAGTACATTTGTCACATACTGCTGCGACACTTCGGTTAAGTTCTAACAACAAGCGCACAGAAACAAGAACAAGCATTCTGCACATGTTCAGCTACAGGAAGCAATACCTTTGGCTGGTGGAGGTTCTGGCTTTTTATGTACAGGGACAGGTACTGCCTTTTCTGGAACCTTCTTGGGCACTTCAGGCACTTTAAAGACATTTTTGTTTAGGGAATTAATTTTCAATGTAACATAGACCTAGTAAAAAGATAACTGTATATCTGATATTAAGATAACTACACAAATATGGCAAAAACTAGTTGTGTGTGAAAGTTAACACTGATGATTTTTTACACAGATTTATGCACAATGTAAACTTACAAATATACAGAGACTACAGAACTACAAACTGGTATAGTAAGGCTAAGGGGGAAGTCTGGCTGTTTAGGTAAATTTTTTGTCTTTTGGACTATCTGTTTTTGAAACGGTAAGTCCTTTAAAATGGTTTGGATATATAAGATCCAAAAGACAGATATAATACAAAACAAAACACAAAGACATTTTCAAAGCGTAAAGTAGGGATAGACTGACAGACACAAACACAGCAGTGTCCTGATCAAACAGCTCAGGGCATGGTTCAAACACTTATTAGGCTGAAGAATGGAATTGTTACTGGCAGTAACAATCTTCTTGTAAAGATGAAGAAACAAAACTAGAATCACACAGCTGAACCAGGAAATGGTGTACCTTTGGCTGGTGGAGGCTCTTCCACTTTTTTAGGCACTGGGACACGTATCTTCTCTTCTGGCACAAGTTTCTTTGGTACTTCAGGCACTTGAAAAAATATTGTTGTAGCTTAAGAATTTAATTTTTGACCCATAAGGTAAAGAACATCGATATAAATAAATAAAGTTGGATGACAAAGAACTGTCAAGAATAGAAAACTTTCTTCACTCTACGTGACATAGGAGAAAAGACTGACAAATTTATTTTTTTTTATTAAACATTCAGTCAAGAGCTGTATCGAGTCATATACCTTTGGCTGGTGGAACTTCCTTCTTTTTTGGTACAGGAACAGGAACCTTCTCTTCTGGCACAGGTTTCTTTGGCACTTCTGGAACTTAGTAAGATATTATTAAACAATGAGCTTTGCATGAAAATCTAAAACAACACAACATATAAACCAGTCACACTAAAACAATTAAACACAAACGAAAAGAACCACAATCTTTAAGAGTAACAATTATTTTTCTATCCTAGTTTTTAATACAAGTGAGAAGATAAATAAATGCTAGAAGATCTTTCTGATCACAGATAGTTACAAGTGCATATACCTTTAGCTGGGGGAGCTTCCTTCTTCGGCACTTGGACTTTCTTTTCAGGTACAGGTTTCTTTGGCACCTCGGGCACTTCAAAAACATGATTTTGGTTAAAAAATAAACAGGAAGCTACTCAAAACAGAAATTAAACAAAAAAGACAGCAACACAAATGTTTCATATGAAGACACATCTTCAAAGTAACAGAAAAAAGTAATAAGCAACTAAGGCATTGAAAAATTATGTGAATCACATATTCAGAGGTTGTCTTCTAATATAAAGAGGTCATATATACCTTTTGCAGGAGGAGGTTCTTTTTTCTTCAGAGCAGGTATTTTTTCCTCTGGAGCAGGCTTCTTGGGAACCTCAGGCACTTGAAAGATACCATTAATGTTTTAGGTATTTACTTCCAAAGCAACAGGAACATAAAGTGCAAACAAGCATCACAAATACATACTCATGCAAGCAGACATCACATACTCCAAACAGACAGCTATGGTTTAAAAGGGTTTTATCATTAGGACAAAATAAAAAACACATTATATTAGCTGCTGTTATGTCCATTCTCTCTGCACAGTCATTGAGGCCATCAATAAAAATGTTTTCATCTTCAAGGGCTCTTTTGCTGATTAGAAGATTAAGTCAGAGTTGTACTTTTTTGAATGAGCTGTTAGAAACATGTTTCCAGTGCTTGTCAGGCATGTAATAGGTTGCATCTGATCATATTCTTTTATATATATTAAATATAAATTGCTGACTGCATTTTCTTCCTGAAAAATTTCCAAGAGCTTTCTCCATGCAAAGAACCCAAGAACATCTAGTTTATCAACTGACTTACTTCACACACAGAACTGTCCATTATAAGTACCCAGCAGTTTATACCACAATTTCTTGGGTAAATGAAATGCTTTTTAAAAAATCCCTTTACTCTTCTGAAATCAACAGACTTTAACTACAGTTAGGCAAAGGTTTCAACTAAAACATATCTAAACTTTTGTTTGTACTCCAAACCCCAGAACTGTCCATATAATTTTTACAATTACAGGAGAATAATTCCTGTAATGGAATTGGCTCTGAGCATACTGAAGAATGATTGGAGCACATATGAATTAAACTTAGCTCTTATGAGAGATTCAGTGGAAATTTCAGCCAACACTAATCTTCCTGTTCAGGATTAACCGGGCTTTTGCAGCGCACAGCCTCATCTTTTCTCATGTTTATGACAAAATTTCTACTGCAAACAATATTAGATATAATTTTGACATTTATTAATTAGTGAAAAGAAATTTTGAACTTCTTTGATGGAAAAAAGACACTATAGAATGATTTGGATTGGGACTGGAAATTATACTCTTAGATTATGATGTAATTTTTGAAAATTGGATATACATGAACTGCGTCTTTATACTATGATGCAGAAAGGCTTTATTACCAAGATCTTGGCATGACCTAGTTCTAAGCAGTATTATGTTTATCCTGTATTAACAATGTAGAAAATGTATACCAATACCATAAAAATTAGTCCTAAGGAAAACATCTGAAAGTAAGATAATTTAAATACGGGTATTTTTTCTTAAGTATATTATTCCATTCAAGACAGAAATAAACACCAACCAAAAGGATTTCTGAGATTTCTGAAAATAATTCAGTGTAACTTGTGTTACTAAATAAATTATTTTCAAGTACCCTAGCTATTTTCTAGATAAATATATTTTTTGTCTATGATTGCAGACTTTACATAAGCATTTTTAAGTATTTTAAGCATGGTCTAATAGAAAAATTGGACCCCAGATGAGGATGAAATTAAGCTCAGTTAAATTTTCCTAGTGGGTTATACAAAGTTTATATGAAAGAGGAATGAACATGTATGACATGGAACATTTCAGTTTATGAAGGTAGTAGTAAAGAATAGATATACAGCAAGTAAAGAGTAGATGTACATGTTTTCTGCACTATATAATGACCAATAAACAAAAAAATGCACACTGCAAAGCACACTGCAGCATTTTAAAACAAAAACTTGGTATTCTCACAGAATGAAAAGATACTACTTCTTCTCACACAAACCCTAAAGTTAAACTATACCTCTAGCTGGTAGGGGAGCCTTCTCTTCATACTGAGGAACCTGTGGCTCTTCCTCCTCATATTCAGCAATTTCCTCTCCATAATAAGCAGCTTCTTCTTCATAATGGACGACTTCTTCCTCTTCATACTGAGGAACTTCTTCCTCTTCATACTGAGGAACTTCTTCCTCTTCATACTGAGGAACTTCCTCCTCATAGTGGCTAACCTCTTCATAGTGGTGAACTTCCTCCTTGTAATGGATTACCTCCTTCTCATATCTGGTGGTTTCTTCCTCCTTGTATCTCGGAACCTCTTCTTCCTCTTCATACTGAGGAACTTCAACGTATGCTTTTTCTTTTCGAACAACTGTCTTGCGTACTTCAGGCACTTAAAAAGATACCAATTGAAAGAACCTTAACATTTAGCACATAGATCTTTCTAATAATAAGGATCACAAGGCATTTTCAACTAAGAATTAACCAAAGGAAGAACATTCCATAGAAAAAACATTGGTACTCACTGTACACAGAACATACAAGACACAAATAACACTGACACCATATTTCAATACTCTGTCCAGTATACCTTTGGCTGGTGGTCTTGCCATTTTTTTAGGAGGATAAATTGGTACTCTTTCTTCAATGATAGCCCTCTCTGGTACATCAGGCACTTAAAAGATACAGTACAATTACATTTAAGAATTTTTATATGTAAATTGTTTAAAAGCAAAAGTATTCTTGGCAAGAAACAGAAAAAGATATCTTACAAACACATGGTTGACAAGTAAAAGACAAATACACTTATTGTCATTGGGCAAGTAGCTAGGGAAGTCATTAGGCTTCTTTTCAATTAAGAAACAATAAACTTTTCAAGATACCAGTAGAAGCAGATGATATGATTCCTGCTTCATCCACTGCTGCCAACAGTGAAGCTCAGTCTGCTGATTTTCATTGCCAAAAGATTAAGATGGACATGTTCAGTTTTTAAGACTTATTCAGGAAAGAATGATGTGTTTAAGCAGCACATTCTCTTTCACAAAAGTGTGTGGGTCTTGTCTTCTGAGGCAGATATCTTGGAAATTTTTTGATCAATAACTGGAAACTGCACAGAAAATTACATTGGGAGGCTTGCCAAGCCGGAGAATAACTGTGGCAGTTAGTTGCTTAACTAGCAACTAGATTTGAGGTTTTTTCTGACCTTAGGAGGTGGAATCCATTCTGTCAGTGACAGATTTGAAGATTTCTAGAAGCTTTATTCATGACAAGCTACAGTGAGCATAGATGAGTGGCTGCCACAAGTCTTGATGCTTAGTGTTATTTTTGGGGCAATGTAAAGACCCGTTAACTCTCTAAGTATTTTCTGGAATAGTCCTCCTTGATATTTAATTATAAATACCAGGTACATCTAAATTTGAAATCTTAAACTAAAACTGGTTGGAACTGGTACTTTGGTGGATTTGAGAACAAAAACTGCATTTTGCATGAGCACCCTTTTCAGAAAGCTCAGGTTGCTCTGGATCCTTTTTTTCCAGCTAAAACACCACTGTTTGGTACCCCATTGGGAACTGTTACATTTAATGTCCTTCTGCTTTGGCCCCTTTCATTTCAGACTGGATGGCAACTTACACTTGCCTCACAGAGAACCAAAGATTGTCTTTCATCATACTCTTAGTACTCATAGTATGTTTATCCCCCCATCTTTGGAGACTAAATACATAATTTAACTTCGCACTGATTTGTCTGTATTAATCTTTCATGACACAAATATGATAATACTGTTTATCAACAGTATCAGATCCAAAAGTAGTAAGTGTGAGGCATCTTGTGGGTCATTTTTCACAAACCAATTGATAGACTGAACAAGTGAAAGACCAATAAATTTTCCTTAAAGGCTGTGGACTGTTGAGCAGGTAGATCAATTACATTGGATTGTGTTAAGTGTCTCAGCCATGCAGGCAACAGTAGAGCTAAGGATTTTTAATTTAGCCTTCAGATTTAGGAGAGGAGTTGCTTTTATAGAACAGGAAAGGACTGCTTGTATCTTCAGAATAGTAAAGAATGTTAATTTAAATGAAAGCAAAGACTGTCTCCTGTTTCTCCTCAAAGGTCAGACAGGTGGCAGGATTTAAAAAGGAGGACCTAAATTATGAAATTATTTGGCTTCCACTATGAGAACAGCAGTAAGCCAAGAGGAAAAAATTAAACATTTTGCTATAATGAAATACTGTGCTGCCTTATTCTACAAGCTTCACTTTCATGATAAACTGGAAATAGCAAAGAACATGAAATTTTGTTTTATTCTCTCTGGTATTTTTACCAGCTAACAAGATGTAACTTTGGATACAGAATCTTTTTAGTCTTCATACCTGTGTATGAAATCTCCTTTTCTGTGTGGAGAGAAACGGATACTTCCTCTGACATAGCCCAATGTTCTTCTTCTGTTGGTACTTCAAAGACAGAGTCTAACATTAATTTTTTTCCTAGTGTACTATCATGTACAATAATAAATGTCTTATTTGGAGTTTCTTAGAAAAATAACTATTACTTCCTGACACCACCCATACCCAGAGTAATACAGAAAAATGTCTCTAGTCTTTCTCAAAGACTCTTTAGAAGTTCCTCCGGGACTACAGTGGATCATAGTGATGGACTAAGGTTAATGGTTGGACTTGATGACCTTAAGTGTCTTGTCCAACTTAAAAGATTCTATAATCCTAAATTTGAACCTCAGGAGATGTGCCAGACCAATAGGCCTGAAGCTCTGGTAGTCTTAGATGAGCACACAGATTAACCCATGGGCAGGACTACCTTCTGGTGGTGGAGACACTTTTCTCTTTTGAACAGCAATGGATACTCTTTCTTCTCTGGCAGTTTTCCTCTGTGCTTCTGGCACTTTAAAGATAGTAATTGTAAGAATACTAGCTTCTAAAAGAAATCACACACATTCTGAAATTCACATGGAAGAATTATAGACAAACAATTAGGAGGAAATAGCACACGATCTAAAAGAAAATATAATAAACACAACAATCACATGAGACATACAAATAATATATAGTAAAATAATACATCTAGTATTAGAGTAATAGATATATAGACAAAAACAAATAAAAATGGAACAGAATATTCACATAAAGATGGAATGAAGATGAAAGTAAGAGGTAAATACTTTGTCTTTAAATTCTTCAGAAACTCAATTAAACCACAGAACACCACACACACAGGGTACATAACAAAATCAAACACAAGAAAAGCACAGAAACAGAGAACAATGTTTGAAACAAGAAGTTTGAGACACTTCACTGAATGTTGACAATATCATAGACATTGATCCTTTTTTTTCAAATTTCGTGGTCAATTTTTTTTTCACTAATTAAATGTTGTCACTCAGCTTTGCAAGCATTTAAGCATCCAGAGTGATCAGTGAAATGAAATAGTAGCTATAAAATTCAAAGAATGAAGGTGTATGACTATTCTCTGTCACACCCAGCAGTATTTTGAAGGGGAAAAGATGAAAGTCCTTTTCATTTATAACCAAATCAGGAAAGACAGATTTGATTAACTAGGCAGACTGTATGATGTACATGGATGTCTGACATTTAAAAACTATCTCTAGTTCCAAAGGAACTTGTATACCTTTAGCTGGTGGAGCTGCCACTTTCTGTGAAATTGGAACAGGTACTTTTTCTTCTGGCACAGGCTTCTTGGGCACTGCTAGCAGTTTTTAAAAAAAAGTTTATTGTAATACATGTTAAATTGATCACAGTATATAAACATAAGCAGACAACAAAACACAAATCAGAGACTTGGCATTTCTTCTAGTAAAAGAAAAAAGGACAGCAAACACTGAACAGCAGAGTCTGTGTTAGACAACTAGACAGAAATACAAACCACTATCCTGAAACAAGTCTTCTGTAACTGTGAAAATTTATATACCTTTCTTTGGTGGAGCCACTTCTTTTTTAGCAACTGCAACTTTTTCTTCTGTGATAATTTTCCTGTGCACTTCAGTCACTTAAAAATAATGTGCAAGAATATTTAATTACAATATTTGAAATGCAGATATATGCTTCTTCTACTTATTTTGATTTTTTTTAAAAAATGCTAAGTAAACTTAAACAAACAAAAAAATAAGACACTGCTGAAGAGCATCCTTTACATCCATAGCACCAAAATGATTAGTCAAAAGAAAGGGAAGCTCCTTGCAAGGGTTACAGATACTAACAAACAAAGCTGTATTTAAGTGAAATGCCTAAATGTAAACACTGCAAGAAAAGAAAATTCCATGGTAATAATCTGTTTACCTTTGGTTGTTGGAGGTTCTTCAAATTCTGCCTCAAAAGTGGGCACCAATGCTTCTGCAGGTTCTTAAAAAAGATTGTGTAACTTTAGAAAATTTGTTTTATTTCATCAACGGGTATAAGATAGAAGATGAAATAACATATAAATAACATATAATAACATATAAACCTCATCAAGACAGCACAGGTCACAGGTGTCATGTAGACAAACAGACATAGAAACATGTTTAATGTTGAAGAAATTTGATACCAGAGATATATGTTGTATCAACAATACAATCCCCAAACAAAGCATATATGTTAAAGATGGAAAAAATGCAAAAAAGCTTTTTTTTTTTTTTTGCAACAGGAACAAACCACAGATATACCTTTTGCTGGTGGAGCCACCATTTTTTTAGACACAGGAACAGGTACTTTCTCTTTAGGAACTGCTTTCTTATGAACTTCAGGAACTTTAGAAAAATGAGCAAGGTGAGAAGGAAGATGAGAAAGAATATTAAAATGTAATATTTGCAATTGCCTACTACAAAATGCATTTTACTGAGTTAACACAAACAATAAATTTCAAAGTACAAGATGGAATTTGAGACAGCATTCATCACTGTGAGAAGACACCACCCATGTCAACATGTACAAGCAAGACAGTAAGACAAACATAATCCCTTTGAAGACACATCAACCAGCTGAGGAATTGGTTAAGGAACTGGTTATAAAGGTTTATACCTTTAACTCCTGGAGCTTCTTTAAGAGCAGCTGGGACTTTTGGCTCAGGGACAGCTCTCCTGTGCTTTTCAGGCACTTTAAAAGATTACAATACATAGTTTTACACAGAGGAGTAGTATCACTATAGCACAAACATATACAAAAATGCCAAAAATGTACATAGACATGAAGTGGCCACATAATATTAAGAATGATGAAACAACTCATATGTTGTAGTGAAATGAACTTATACCTTTTGTGGGTGGGGCTTCCTCTCTTTTTGGAACAGTTACTGTCTCCTCTATGTAGTAAGACTCTTCTTCAGTCACTTTTAGAAAGAGTGAAATATAAAAATACTTAGGTTTAAGTATTTGACATATATTCTTGTCTTTATGGCCCTGGTAAGCAACAAAATATTTGTAAGGCAAAAATAAACAGTGTGCTTTATTAATAGACTCCTCTAGGATGACAAAATCTGCAATTGACAAATTCAAGCCATCCTGCTTCCTCTGAGGCCAATGGAGACACTCCAAGCAACTCAAATGGAACCGAGCACCTGAGCTCTCATCTTGTATTTGTGTGGAATTTGAAAATGCTCCATTTACTCTGTCCACTAACTCACTAATGTAGAAATTTTTCCATTTTGAGAAACCTTTCCTGAATACTGAGAAAATTCCTTTACTAAAGATGTCCCTGGAAAAATCTGTGGTATCACTAGTCATAGAAACTTAGTTACAGTCAGTGTTACTGTCCTTCACAGTAACAAACTCCTTCCACCAATAAAATTACAGGTGGAAACAACATAGTTATTTACAATGAAATTATCTGAGGAACCCGAGTGCATCATGATATTTGGAAGAACATTTACTTTATCCAAGCAACCTGGTGGAAGAGAAATTTCCAACAGAGGAGTTTTGTAAACAGAAAGAAGTCCTGATAGATCTCACTATCAAAGAGATAACTTCTTATTTGCACTGTATTGAAAAAGGATTAGCTACTCCACTTTTCAAAAGCAAGCAACAGAAGTCATAGACAATAAAATTGTAAGTTACAAAACATATTTTTATAGTAGTATTTTTTTCCTTATGAATAAAACAGATATTAATCCAAACTGTCTATTTGGTAAGACTGAAAATTGATTTTTTGCTTTTGCCTAGTGTTCCTGCACTGTTTTCATACCTTCAGAAATCTCTTCTCTGTGAATGGAAATAGAAACTTCCTCTCTTTCTTCTTCAGACCATTCTTCAACTGTTGGTTCTTTAAGGAAAATTATTGGGTTTAGTATTTTGTTGGACGGATAGATGGAGAAAGGGAAGGATTAATAGATAGAGAAGATGAAGACCAATTCTTAGAACTTCTATATTACAATGTCAGATATGCATACAATCCAGAAAGTGCTGTGCACATACATATTTATGATTTGTTCTAAATTATGTGGTTTGTCCACATCCCAGGTTCCCTATTGTGTGTTGTTGTATCTGATACCATTCAATGGTCAACTGTCTGTTCCTTAGAATGCCACAGCTCCCCAAATTTCCCCAACACAACAGCTCAACTGGGGGGAAAAAAGAATCAAATTTGATCTTTGATCCAACCATATGAAAGTGAGGAAAGGAAAAAATGAGATGGATAGGTCAAGAACTGTAAGGAAATCCTGGAATGTACTTATCTACAGAGGTGACTGTATCAGGGAAAACCTCAACTAGTTCTGGAGACAAACAGAAATTAACACTGCATGTATCCATATGGGTGTGTATTTGCAAATTTATATTTTAGATAGGCATGTTCCAAATTTTCTTCTAAATATTCATTTATGGTTTTTAAAGGAAAGTGAAAATTGTCTTGACTGGATAGTTATTAATGGGATATAAAAACAGACAAAATTCTGTTTTCAGTTATCTTGAAGCAGGTATTTTGTGGAATTATACTAACCTAAAACAACTGATCTCAATCTTCCCTGAACATGAGAATGTGAACTGAAACCTGGTGAGAAGCTAACACTGCAGAGGAAAGCAGTATTTTATTTTCAGGGCTACAGAGAGCTTTGTAGTATGACAAATGGATGGTTACAGCCCTAATTTATGGAGTCTATAATAAACAATACATCCATGTTTGCTACTGCAAATTTCTGAGCCCCTGATCTGAAGATCATTGTATTCAGGAGTAGTTTCCATTCCTGTCAATGTGGTGGGATCCTGATGTTCAAGACTGAAATTGGAAATGGCACTTTAGGAGGCTTTTAACTGCCTGCAGTTCAACACAAAACTCGTATGAGATAATTATCAAAAAAATTTTGGTGTATTTTGATCTTGATATTAGAACAACAGACTTGCAGACATAGCACAAGTTTCTCACTATTGTCTGTTTATAGTGTACCTTCAGGTGATGGAATTTCCTCTGGAATGGCAACAGATATTCTTTCTTCTGTAATAAGTACTCTTTCTTCAAAAGTGGCTTTTTTCTGCACTTCAGGCACTTTGAAAGATAATGATATTAAATGTATGCTTTTTCAATTCCATTGTGAAAACAGTTTCAAAATGCTAAATTAGGTTTCCAAAGAAGGGTACTGAGCACATAACATTTAACAGAGATTCAATATTTAGAAAGAATACTGTATAAGTATTGCATAAGAGATACAACATACTGTAATGATTCATTGTCTAAATCAGAACAGCAGAACTCACAGGGGAACACAAATCAACAACAAATAACAGCACAGAACATTTAGACATAAGCTGGGCAACAGCATATTCTTGTATTCTACTGGAAAGCATACCTTTAGCTGGAGGAGCCTCAATTTTTTTAGCAACAGCAGGAGGCACTTTTTCTTTAGGGACAGGTTTCTTAGGAACTGCAGGCACTTAAAAAAAGTATTTGTTTTAGAACATTTGAAGTAAAAACTGGCACATGCATCATGTAAGAGAAATGTGTTGTTGAGAAAGATTACACATGGACATGTTTTGCTTACCAAACATGACAGTTGACCAAACTGAGATAAATGCAATGTTCTAAAGATTACAATAATTATATTAAAGTGAGCTATATTGTACCTTTTGCAGGGGGAGTTTCTAGTTAGGAACATATGGCATTTTTTCTTCTGGAGCTGTTTTTTTTAGGTATTTCTGGCACTTCAAAGATATTAGTTATAATATAATTACCTTAAATTGACAAGTTTTTAAAGAATAAATCTACGGCACACCTATACACAAAACTGACACAAAAGATACATGTTAACATAGATGAAGTACCAGTAAAACCAGATTAATTTAGCAATCAAATCCAAAATTTGACATAAACAAGATGCTAATAATAAAGATTATAAGAAAAGAACATAATTTTTTTAAGTGTACCTTTAGGTGTTGGAGGTTCCTCTCTTTTTGGAACAGCAACCTTTTTCTCTGGGGGAGCTTTCTTAGGAACCTCTGGCACTTAAAAACCATAAAATATAAGATAACTGAATTCTAAATTTCAAAGATTTATTGGAGTATTATAGATTTCATTAATCCATTTTTAAGAATGTCAAGACACACCACATAACACATTCACACAGTTAACATAGAAAGATACATGACAAGAGCAACATATGTTTGATAAAAACCAAAATCAAACCAGTTACTGGAAGACTATCAAATGCTTTAAGACTGATTTCTTAACTGAAGAATGGGCTCAAATATGTTATCAGGTTTTTAAAAATCTCGTGGATGTACAGAGAATTATACATAAAATATAAATTCTAACACAAACATGCTTACGTACAGACTAACAGGAAAATAGAACTCAACAAGTAGTATGCACTCCAGGAATAATTGTCTCTGGCATGCAGTTGTTCTCTTTGGGAAAAGGAACATGTACTTTTTCTTCAGGCACAGGTTTTCTAGGCCCTTGAAAAGCTCTAAAGGTATTAAAATTCATCTAAGTAATCATTCTAAGACTTTTGAATGCCTTAGATGAGGACAAACATTCAGACGTAACACACAAAGATTACATTTATCATACGTGTTGAGAACGTAAGAGAAGTTAGGAAAAGAGGACAATTGCACAGAACAGGTTCAAGCCCACATTCAAAAGATGCTGTACCTTTTGCTGGGGGAGCCACTTCCTTCTTAGCAACAGCAACTTTCTTTTCTGGAACAGGTTTCTTTGGGACTTCAGGCACTTTGGAAAACATTGTTAAAATAAAAGACCTTTAGTTTTTGGAACACTAATGCAGATTTGAGTAATGCAAGATTGTTTTATACGGTGCTTGGACAAGGAGCTGAGCACTGCAACCAACACAATACAATGTACAGTCTTTTGGACAAATGTGGACAGTACAGGAAAGACACTATAATAAAACTCCTATGTTAAAATCACTGCATTAGCACCTTTCATTTTACTCTCTTGAAGTAAAAACATTCTACACTTGCCTGAAAAAGCCACACAACTGAAATAGAAATAGTAAGCACAAGGTAGTTATGAAAGAGAAGGGCCCAAGCTGAGACAAATTCAAGCTGTAATCTAAGTTATAGCAGAATTGAAATACTGAAACTGCAACAGAGAAAATGCAAAATCAAATAATGCATACAGAGATAGAGCAAAAACAAAGACACATAGAGTAAATTCCTAAATATAGTAAAGAAAATGTGAAAAATAATAGAAAGAAAGAAAATTTGTTTGGGCTTTGCTTCTTTCTTTTTTTTTACTAGAGCAGTAGAAATACCTTTAGCTGGTGGAGCTTCTGTTTTGGGGACAGGAACAGGCTTTCTTTCTTCTGGAACACGCCTCTTTGGTATCTCAGGCACTTTAAAAGACAGGTGGTGATCATTTAGGAGACAGTTAAAATAATTGGTAAACCACAGTAGGCTACTCTTAACATGATATATAAGCAAACACTAAATGTCAAAAACTATTCTGTGTTATCAAACAGACACAACAAACTCGTCTCACAAAAAGCTATTAAAGGAATTATGTAAAGTAGTCATGAAGAAGAATAAGATAAAAATGCAGAAAGGCTTGAAGCTTTGAGAGCAGAGCGATAGAGAAACTGAAAGATCTCAGTTCTGATATGGTATCCTTTGGTAAACTGTTACATACAGATAACATAAAAGTTCAGAAAAATGGGGCAGATGTTGATGCAAAGACTTTATTCACCTTCAACGTGAGAGATCTCCAGTTCTGTAGAAACGACTTCTTCCTCTTCCTCAACCTCCCTACGAGCTACAATAGGAATTTTAAAGATATTAAACATTGACATAGGAAATACCAATGTTCATAGTAAATCTGAAAAACTTTAAGAAGATATTATGTGTGTACAGTACACAATCATCACTGATACCCGTATGTTAATATGTAAAAAAAATTAATCCAGAAAACGAAAAGAATGTGCAAATCTCACAATGAATTTTGACTCAAAACAAACAAACAAACAAACAAACACTTATTAGACTCCCATCCTTATTCAAACTACCTTCAAGTGGGTAAACAGCTTCAAAGAATCTTTCTTCAACTGTTTTCTCATGCTCTGTTGGCTCTTCAAAGAAAAGTATTTAAACAATAGTAAGATAAAATAGTTGAAATATTTCCATCTATCAAGCTAAATAAAACTATAGCTACATAACACATGGACAAAAAAGCAAGCCATTCTGAAAGACAAATGACCAATATGTCTAAATATGTAATTTGCCATACATAAAAATAGATCAAAAGAAAGTATAGTAGGATTGATAGATTGTTTTGATTTGGCTACACATACTTTTGGTTTTGTACATACCTGTAACATCATATGAATACTCTTCTTCTCTGTGGACAGAAACTGACATCTTTTCTTCTGAAACAGTCCATGTTTCTACTGTTGGTACTTTAAAGATAGGATTTTGTTTTAGTATTTAATATTCTAGATCCACATTAGTGGTAGTCAGCATGTGAGTTTTTATCAAATCTTTATCTGTATTGCACATTAAACTCTTAGACATATTTAGACAGTCAGTATTCATATTCTAAAATACTGAACACACAACAAGAACACAAGTATGATATTTAGTATTTGTTAAAGACTGAAGACACAGACACCTTTAACCCAAATATTTGAAACAAAATGCATGCACAGGCTTTTGGAAATAGTACATCAGAAGAATTATAAAGGTGGCTCTTCAAAGACATTTTTTGGCATGGGGACACAATTATACTTATTATGGAAGGCTAGGCCAGCAAGCAGAATAGATGAAGAAAAAGCTAAGTCACACTGCAATGTGACTGTAGGCTTTTTAAACAAGAACCAAAAGGCTATCCATAAATATGTTAAAAACAGACTTTATAAAACACAAAAGCATGGTACACATACTAATTAAACACTGAGAGCAATCACAGCATAACTACTGCTATGGATCCAGATACAAACACACAGGCCCACATATTCCAAAGAAGCACAGAAACACACTGGGTGCTGAAAAAATGTATAAACTGCAATTCAAAGATGCTGATCTGTACCTTCTTTTTTCATAACTTTTTCCTCAACGACCATTGGTGTAGGTTTTGGTGGCAGAACTTTCTTGGTAACTGTTGGCATTATAATTTTGTTACTCAGTCATTTAGCAAAGAGATCAAAATAAGCCTACAGCTATCTATAAATGACGTTGAAAACACAGCAAACAAGATAAACAATCTAACTCAGCAGCTAAGTCAGGCTTCTTGGAATCACACAAAGCAACATAAGGAATGTGTTTGTTTCTTTTTATGACTATGTTCTAAAGGCACTCAGGGCATTTAGAACACAGGTCATTTCCTGATACTTATTGAACTTCAGCTGACAGAATCCTGCTGCAGAATGGGAAATGCTACACAAAAGGAAGTAGCTGCTAAGAGAATAAGGGTGCATCTTTATTTTATAACCAAAGAATTAACCAAGGTATCTTGGTAGATGGGTCAAAATGGAAATCTAAGCATGATGGGAATTTCATATCTTCAGCTTAGTGAAGCACAGTATTTCACCCAGGGAAATTTTATACACACTTCCTTTCTTAAAGCATTGGTAGTTAATATTTGGATTTAGTATTTTCCCCTAAAAAGCTTTGAATCTTCTTTTTAAAGAATTCAGCAGAAGCTTTTGTTAGATGTTTCAAAGACTGAAAAATTGATCAGACCATGTTAAGTAAAGACAAAGCGTATGCAGATCAGCAGATCTGATATAAGCATTAGCAGATCAGCTAAGTAACAAAAGCCACAACTTTCATGGAAAGATGACATTAAGATAACTGAACAGTATTTACCCTCAGCCTTTTTGACTTCTGCAACCCTCTGAGTGGTTACCTCTACTTTTTCATCAACAGGTTTCTTGACAACTGGAAATAATTCAGATAGATTTATTGTTTAAGTAATCTTGCAAATTATTTTCTGTATACAAACCAGATAGAACTGGCCATTTTTTTGTTTAGGATGTTACAAACCTTGAGCATCCTGTGCTCTGTTCAGTGCACTGTTTACTGGTGGTGAATGGTAGTAGCAATGTGGCCCACCCTGCCCTGAGAGATATGCAGTGATCTAAGTGGAAAACTCTTCCCAGAAGGGCAGCATTTAATTTCTTAAAAGTTAAACCCATGCTAATATGCAGGGAGAAGGAAGGATAACTAAGCTCAGTTTGATTTTAGCATCAATTCTTGTTTTGATTCTTCCACCTTTGAGCAGAGAGCTCAGAAATATGAGGTGGGAGAAGAGAAAGGGTTGCCATGACCTTGCTCATCTCACTGTCCAACATAAAGAGAATTTTCTTCTTTCAAAGGGAATGTGAATAATCAGCACCATTCAGCACTGAAGGAGACGCATGAGAGACCTTAATCTGCACATTCCTGTTTGTTTTGTGGAAAAGTCATACCTTTTTGAACAGTTACTTCCTTCTTTTCCTTCTTTTCAGCTATAATGGCTGGTGGTTTTCGCTCAGGCACAGGTTTCTTAGGAACTTCAGCCACTTAAAAAAAATAACATCACTTAATGATAAAAAATATGGTGTCTAAAGGCTCTATAGACAGAAAGATATTACTTATACCATTACAATTTTAGGAATTTTAAAAACACACAGGGAGTTTTGGAGTTGCAATAGTTGAAGTAAATGTTTTGCTTATTTCCAAGTTTCATGTTTTCTCATCTGAGCCAAATTTGGTTCCTAAAGGCATATATGTTACTAATTCCCAAGACAGTTAAAGCATGTGAGAAACTGCAAAATATGACTATTAACATCAATCAATAAATGTGTGAAACATTTAAGGAAATCAAGTTTATCTAGAGCACATGAAAATGATAGAAGGAATATCCAAAATCTAAAAATGACACATATCCTTACTACTAACTACTAACTCATATTAGGATTATGGTTTCAGGTATTTTCACAACAACAACAAAAAAAAGTTGCCTACTTCAAAATGTCAGGGCCTTAATGATAAATATGAGAAGAAATAAAATGACATAATAATTCAAATACCTTCCTCATGAATAATTCTCTTTTCTTCATAAGTCACTTCTCTTTTCTCATAAGCTTCTTCCCATTCCTCTTCCCCTTCATCATAGCCCTCTTCCTTGACATAATAGTCATGGTCTTCACCATAATCTTCTTCCCATTCTTCATAAATTTCTTTGGGCATTTCATGTATTTTCTTTTCTTCATGTATTTCTTCTCTCCTTGCCATGGATGTTATTTTGACCTCTTTGGGCTTCTCTGGTACCACCTCAGGAACTTAAAATAAATAAATCGATTAATCATCTCATAGTTTGGAATTTTCAAGGCATATTAGATGTTCATATTTAGTGAAATTATTTCACCTCACAGATGGTTTAAAGAAGGGACTATTTTTTTAAGCAGTCACAATCAGCTTGGATTATAAATGTGTGTTTTTAACATAAAGCCAGAAATCAAAAAATTGTGATTGATTCAAGTTATTTCAAAACTAAACATCTTGTTTCCACAAGGTAATTTTACTCTTTTAAAAAAAGTTTTCAAACAAAGGAAAAAAGTTACCTTTAGGTGGTGGGACTTCTTCAGGGGCTTTTTTAACCACCTTTTGGGGTACTTTCTTTAATGGAACCTTTTTCTCTGCTTAAAAAGAATATATTTAAAATTTTAAATTAAAAAACTCAAGAACCCCTAAAAAGCCAAACAAACAAAAATCCAGAAACCAACTGTCATAATGAAACATGAACATAGTATTCAAATACTGTAAGAACTTTTACCTGGCTTTTTCTTCTCTGGAGGTGGAACAAGAGGCAGAAGAATGGGAATAGGGGCAGCTTGTAGGAAAAATGAAATATTTAGAACAAAATTTAAGTTTGGTATTTTCTTATAAATGAAGAAAAATCCTGGTTTGGGAAAATAAATTAAAATATTTTATTGCAGCTGCAGAATAAAAGCAAATATGGTGCTTATTCTGAGAGTCTGCAGCAGCTGAATAAATATAATTTGAGTGGGAAACCCCCAGTCTACTTTTAGACTCACTGAACCTTGAATGTCCTTAGCCCTATTTTCATTGCTGCCATCACTCTCCTGTCCTTGCTGATGGTAATTCATCTAAATACCAAAACTTTCCCTTCCTGCTACCACTGCAAGCATTAACCAAAATATCCTAGAAATAAACACAAGAAGTTTAAGCTGCTGATGATTATAGTAAGCTACTGGGTGTAAAAAAGTATAAATACTGTTTCTAGTCAGTAGTCCAAAACCAGAGCCTGGGGAGAGACCATTTGCCATAAACATGAAATCCAATGTATGGCTTTAAAAGAGTATTTTTTTAAAGGCAGTAATTCAGACAGCTTGTTTAAAAGATATTTTTTGTGTCAAAAAGAAGAGTTGAAAATTTAAAAAAAATTATCAGAGAGGAAGATGGAGATAAAAGGAAGATCAAATGAACAACAGACTGATAAGAAAGCATGATGGAAAGGACTCTTTTTTAAAGAGATTTAAATTAACTCCTACCACTACCTGTGTAGAGTTTTCACCTTCCACACAGCAAAGAAGCCTATCCAAGTCAAGTCTTGCTCACAGGGACAATTTACTAGATCTTGGCTAAGATTTTTCTCTGGTTCAGTGCAGATATAGAACAAGCATGGTTTGTTACCCTACCTTCAGCTGGTTTTTGAGGTGGAACTGCAACCTTGGCATCAGGAACATCTAGAAAATCAAAATGTTTAATTGGCTTAATAAATAGTACCAATAAAAAGATTCAATGTGCTCCTCTCAAGAATAGTAGTTGACGGTGCTTTAATCTTTCTTTTTGTAACATAAAAGCTTTGTAGCTTGCTCATCAAGTATAAGTTAGCCAACCAATAGATAACTGATTGTTTTAAACTTTCAGTTCAGCCAGCCTATACAACGTTATGTCTTATTTCCAAATAACTCTTGCAACATTTGGAGTAGGCTCTTTAGAATAAACGAAAAAGAAGATCACTGCATCTATCACACACTATCATAAAGAGGTGATTTTTTACTCACTTTGCCTCCTTGGTTATTTTTTTCAGTTGTACAGAAAAGAACCTACCTATTAATTGGTACATTTTCATTGTTTTATCCCTTAGCAATTCAAACAAAATTAAACTTGTGTATTTTAGAGAATGGGGCATTCTATATTGTACAAAATAGGGTCCCTATTAATGTCACTGATAATGGATTTATCTCAGTATTCATTGTGACAACTTATGACAATAATAGCTTCACATGTCTGTGGATGAAGAATACTTTTTCAGGATGTAGGTTATACTTACTCTAACCAGGAAAAATAGATTTTAAAATAATAAAAGAGCAAAGCAATGCTTTAATTTTATGACACAGTATAGAGAAGATCTTGTGCCAGTCTTGCTTGAGGACTTTACCTGGTGGCTTCAATTCCAGTTTTATTTCTGCAAAGGAATATTAGATTTTTTTTAGGACTACTGATTTTTCCAGAATCATATTTCAAACAAACAAATTTGCACATGGTTATGATCACAAATTTGTTTAGAAAATTTGCTAACCTTTGGTTACGAGATAGAGCTCTGCAGTACTTCTTGCTTCTCCTCTTGGTTCAAGACGAGCAATTACAGAATACACACCTGCAGCAGACAAGAATGTTCATATTTATATGCTTTTATCATTTAAAACCAGACAAAAACCCCCAAAAGATAAAAAATGGCAGCAGCACAAATGTTTCATGCATTTTTACCTTCATCTTCTGCATTGACATTGTGAATAGTCATATAATGACAACGACCTTCACTTCTGAAGCTGTACTTGGGACTCTCTCTCAGTTCTGTGGGGCCTTTATACCACGTCACAACTGCATCATCAAAAGACACCTCACACTCAAAGGTGGCAGACTGGTGTTCACTCACAACGATGTTCTGTATGCTCTTGGTGAACTGAATTGGTTCCGCTGTTTTTAGAAAGAAAAAAATACATCAGTTTTTATGCACCACCATGGCATTTACTGTATCTGAATCCTTCACGTTGTTGTCATCAAAATAGCTAAATTTTAATCAGATAATAGCAATAGATCTTGAAAAAGTAGAGTAAGAAAAAGGGTTTCCATGTTCTGTGAAGTTTCATGCATAAGAATGAAGATTAGAAGATGTAAGAGTTCAACTATAACAAGATTGATGTGCCGATACCTTTTGTAAGAGATGCCATTAAGGAAACTAAAGATAGAGAATAATTAAGAAAAAGTCCAAGGAAAATATAAGAGTCCCAAAGAAAATAGATGCTAGTACAACTCAGATTGCTTGTGGGCTACGGGACATTATCCATCATGGTTTAGTTTAGAATACTAAGTTACACAAGTATGTCACATGTTATTCCAAGAGAAAGGACAGTAAATTTTCTTATTTAGTCTGTTTCCAAGTTTTGGACTCTGTCTTTCAGAAATTATTTTTATTTTCATTTGTTCTGCTAATGAAACCTCCAGAAGCTATTGTAAGAAAGAGATTCTGTATCTTTACAAACCTTCAATGGCCAGATCTGCCGTTGTTTCTAGACTGTCAAGCTTGCAGGTATACTGTCCCTCGTCTTCAGTTCTAACATCCTTGATGATGAGTTTGTGCACTTTGTCAGAGACTTGTGTTGAATATCTCCCTCCTATCTTAATGGGTCTCCCATTTCTATACCACTGAGACTTGGCATTTGGGATAGAGAACTGACAAGTCAGCGTGCATGTTTTTCCTTCCTTGAAAGTAGTGTCATGAAGGTGCCGCTCAACTGCAGGTTCTATTAGCATGTTAAAACATACATTTCAACAGAGATCAGAGAGTGGAATAAACAACGTGTAAACTAACTCAGATATGTACTTCAGAAGTACACTTACCAATCACAGTTAGCTTGGCACTGGCAATATGTGGTCCACACACTATTCTGAAATTTCCTTGATCTTCAGGCTGGCAGTTTCTAATTCTCAGTATGTGGCGATCACCTTCAATTCTAATTTCATATTTGTCATTGGAGTCCAGTTTCTGGGTTCCCTTGTACCATGACAGTTTAATTTCTGGATAGTTAATCTTAATCTCACATTCAAAGATAGCATCCTCATCTGCTAAAACCGTCTGATTTTCAATGTCTCTGATCAGAGTAATAGGCTGGAAAATATTAGTCGAAGTTAATTTCAAGTTCCCTGCTATAGAGTTGAATATTTCATAAATCAGTCCAAAAATGTTTTACCTCTGTTTGTGTGAGTCGTTGCTGAATAAAAGCTACAAGTTCATCAAACTCCTGATCTTCCCTTTGAGCTTTCTCTGTGAGCTCAATTTCCTATAAAAATGCAGAATATACTCAAAGGTTAAAGGATACTAAATGTCAAGCTGTCATGTCTATCCAACACAGAATTCATTCCTACATCAAATTTTATGTAACTGTACTGTAACCAGTGTATCTTCCCATTCTAACAATTGCAGTCAAGTTATGAAGACAGAACTTATTTAGCCAGAAGGCCCATTTATTCTTGGATTTGAGCATGCAAGAAATTGAGAACTGCCAGTAAAAGATCTAAAGAGGAACCAGAAATTCCTGCACACATCATAACTTCAGAGCTTCAGAGTGTGGAACACCACGTCTGTTCAAGGGAAACATTACTCCTAAGGGAGCCAATGCTGCAGCCACACTGTATCTTACCAATCTATGGCTTTCTTCTGCTTGGGTTTGCTTTAGTAACTCAAAGGCTTGCAGGAGGCCACGGAAATCTGTAATCCCATACATGCGAGCATATTTCTCATATTCTTTGGGATCTACATTTTTGAGAAGTTCCAAGATATCGATAGGTTGCTCTTCCTCTTCCTTTCTTTTTGTTGGAGTGCTATTCAAATCAATAACAGAAGTTAACTATGCAGCATTTAATTCCCAGAAAGCTGTTTAATGAAATGCTGAATCACCTCAGAGCTGTCCTGTGCAGTAGAATCCTTTAGCTTAGTCTAGTCAGGTGCTTTTATTTTTAGTACAGTTATTCCTATTTAACAAATATTTCAAAATTATATCTTGTTTTGAGATGTATAATAAAAAAGTGTCTTCTGTGTTGATAGCAAATTAATCCATAAAAACTTTCAATATACCTTTTTAGTTTTGCCCTGAGATCCCCTTCAACAACTTCTTCTTTCTTTCTTTCTTCAACTTGCAGGTTTACACTCCTCTCAATTTCACCATGCTGGTTAAAAGCTACACATTTGTACATGCCAGAATCAGTTTTTATTGTGTCCTTTATTTCTAGTTTAGCTTCATCTCCTCTCTGCTGGATTATAATGCGGCCTCCCTGGTTGAGCTGCCTCCATTTTCCCTTCATCCACTTAACATTTGGAATCGGGTCTCCTCCAACTTTTGCAATAAATGTTGCAACGGTCTCTGCAGAAAGATGCAAATGAGGAAGCTAAGTCTTTCCAGTTGTTTATGACAGAGGGACATCACCTCAAACAAAAGGTGTAGGCAAATAGAAGACATTGTACTATTTTGAAAAGAGTTCTTACTTTCCATGACTTTGATACTCTGAGGCTCTGACACAAAATAAAGTTTGCCTTCCACTTCTGCTTTCTTAGCTGCTGGAGCAGCTGCCGGTTTTTCTAAAAAAATAGAGTCAGAGAGTTATAACAGATGGCTTCGTGTAATAGTTTATGTTCATAGGTGATGATGCTTTTGAAGGAATTGTAAAAAATAAATTAATTCCTGAGATGGAACAAAATACTGTGCAAGAGGTAAAAATGCAAAATAATATTATTTTAGCCAACTTGCAGTTTACTTTCCAGGTGAAACTGTCTACAATGACCCATGCTGTGTTCATTTACTTCAGTCAGGCCATTTATAGTCTCCATGTATGCAATTCCATAGATAGATAAAGAAAAAGCCTAATTTTCTAAAATGGATAAGGTTTTTAGTGAGGTTTTCTCTTTTCAGTCTGTTTCTGGATATTATGCCCTAAGAGTTTCTTGGAGTTTTTTATCAGTGGTCTGTTATATTCACTTGCTTTGACTTAGTCCTTAGCCTAATGTCTAACCATGCTGTGAAGAGAACTATTTTTGCATATTGCTGGGCTCTTGTGTCCTTTATGCAATGCTTAAGCAAGAACTATACAGAAGGACTCATGTTTAGACACTATTTACTTTCAACCAGAAGGTCAAAATGTCTTAGAGCTGCAAAATGTCTTAGAGCTGCAATAGTCTTAAAACAATTAGCCTCTAAGGCCACATGCTCAAATTCCTTCTGTATTTTCCATCAATAAACAACACTTTTCACATGTTTTCCATAAAACATGCATGTCCAGGTAATTTCAACCTTTTAGCTTGCATTTTTCTTAAATTTGGTGTTTAGATTTAAAAAACAGATTCTTAATCTCTTTGGTAGGAATGTACTATTTATTTGACACTGAACCTAGAAGTAAATATTTGTTACTAGATTATGAGCTTTTTTGTTCCACAGGAAAAAAAAAAAAAGTGGGATGGAGTTTTGGTTGACATTTTCATCATATGCCTTATATTCTTATATTCTTCATGTTACTGTACCTTTGACTGTCACTTTAGATTTGCAAGTATCAGTGCCAGCTGCATTTGAAGCTTTGCATACATATTCTCCTGAATCTGATTTGGTAACTGCAGCAAGTTCTAGAACAGCTACTCCATTAGCAAAGCTGAAGTTGCATCTGTCTGAAGCTCTTATTTCTCTTCCTGCCTTCAGCCACTGGATCCGGATTGGCTGCGATCCCTGAACATGACAGCTAAGCTGTACGGTATCACCTTCCTCTGCTGCTGCTGGCTGAAGAGGCTGGTCAAACACTGGAGGCTTTTTAGGTTCTGGAATATGAAAATGTTTGAGTAAATACTCAGGAAAGTATGATCAAGAATATAAGAGAAAGAGATACACATGATTCCTAAGGAGGCAATGGCAAGGAATAGAGGATGATAAACAGAAGTCTGAGAATGTCAATCATAATGTTATAAAATGAAATAAATACCAAGAGATTATAACAGCGTGTTTCCTATATAAATATATTTATCCCCTCAGAAAGAACCTTTACAAGCAAATAATAGTATGAGAACTAAAGCACCACTAGGTTGCAAAACTATATAAAAATATTTAAAGAAATTAACCAGCAATTTCCTGCAAGACTATTATGATGAACTGTTATGCTACCCAATGCAGTGTCAACACTGCCTAAGCTTAGATTTCTTTGCACAAACACTCTGCTACTTCATTGAAAGAGAATGGTTAAAAAATGAACTGAAGTTTCACAAAGATTTCAATTTTCAATTTAAATCGGTCATAGAAAATACTGAAAAAGAAGTTTCTCCTTGAAAAAAATTTTCACAAAAAATAAAATTATTTCTTGACATTGTGGTTTATGTCTATCTCTGGACAAATCACTGCTGTTAAGGTAAGTAAAACCAGCTCGTAGGACAGAAGTGATATACTTTCAGCTAAATAAAACAAAGAAAAGCAGGAAGCAAAGAAAAACAAGACTTCAACCAACCTCTGATAACAACAGAAGATGTACTCAAGACACTTCCTGCTTCATTGGACACTTTACAGGTATATAAACCAGCATCTGATTGCTCTACGGTCTTTATATGCAAAAGCAAGGTATTGTTTTTGAAAGATATTTCACAGTGAGCACTTGAATGGACTTCCTGATTGTTTTTATACCAAGCAACAGTCAAAGGCTGAGAGCCAGAAACACGACCCTCAAGTTTAAGTTCATTCCCTTCTGTTTCTTCTACTGCTTCAGACAGTTTCTTAGTAAAAGTAGGAGGAGTTTTTCGTTCTGTAAAAAAAGAACATAAATTCCATGAATCTATCTTGAGATGAAAAATCCTATAGACAATGCTTCAAGAAAAATTTGAACATTGGGGCATTGATATTTACTCTCATTTAAACTGGATATATATTTTAAGTGAGATTATGCTAAGACAAACAGCAGGAGTCTTGCTCTTACAGTCACTGTCACTATATTTTACTGTTGGAAAGAAAATTTCTCTGACATTGATTTAAGTCATACACCATTTAAGTAACCCGAAGAATTTTGTCAAGTTCTTAAGGAAGAAATAGGCCAGAGCCTATTAAGAAAGTAGGCCAAAGAAAATGCTTTATTTCTCCTTCCATTGCTGTTCGAGACCCTTCCTAGTCCTCTTAAAACATTCATAGGTATCTCCACATAGGTACTCTTGGGCTACATCTCAGAAGTTTTCTCAAAGTTATCTTGCAGTAATAAGTCCAGCTTCCTTTATAACTGAAGGAAGAAAAAATGTAAACACAATGTATTAGCTCTTCAGTACCTTTAACAGCCAGTTGAGCTGTGCAAGAGTCCTTTCCAACTTCATTGCTAGCATAACATGTGTATGTTCCAGAATCTCCCCTGTCAACTCTCAAGATGGTCAAATGAGCTGTGTTGTCTACATAACTGATCTGATAGTTCTTTCCTGTTCTAATTTCTTGGTTATCTTTTGCCCAAGTGACTCTAATAGGCTGTGTTCCAGAAACGTGACACTCAAAATCAGCACTTTCTCCAATAATACCATCCACAGGTGTAAGTGGGATGTCAAAGAATGGAGGAGTCTTCCCTTCTGAAGAGTGAAAGAAATAAAAAACCATCACTTAAAAATCTCATTTTTCTTTAAAACGGTATGAAATAAGGATCTTTTGTACAATATTAAATCCATATATACAGAAAAACACAGTTTTAAGACATTTCCATTAAATATTTCACAGCCCACCAACCTGTAAGGACAAGCCTGCCACTAGAAGAAGCAGTCCCCATAGCATTGACAGCTGTGCAGGTGTATTGCCCAATAAGGCTCCTATCTGTCTTCAAAATCTGGAGAGTTGCTACGTTATCTACAAAGGACGCGTGAACATTGTAGTCCTCTTTTACACGCACACCGTCTTTAAACCAAGATACTTCGATGGGTTCTGAGCCAGCAATCAAACAATCAAACACGACTGGTAAGCCAACAGTTTCATGAACGTCTCTCAATTTTCGTGTAAAAGAAGGAGGAAGTTTACGCTCTGTAAGAGAACAAGTATTGTACAGTGATATCATTTATTTTGAACTTGTTGTAAAGAGCCCTGTGCATATGGTTGCAGGAAGAGAGGTCTCTTTTTTGTTCCTCTTAGACCCAATGAGCCTCAGGACTGCTACTACTGGAAACAATCAAAGCTATATCCTGAATAAGGATGGAAGATGCAGAGGCTGCAGAAGAGCTCTGGCCAGTAAGTGCTGTATTTCAATCAGCTTTACTGGTAGGCTTTTGTTAGTAGAAGACAGTGCCACAGGGTACCTTACACATCAAGAAACAATAAAGTGTTTTATGAATAAGAGTCAATTGATTCTTTAAATAGAAAAGCATATTTAAGAAAAATAGGCCATTTCCCTATATTTAAAATGGAAATATTCACCTTGAACTGTAAGCAAAGATGATGAAGAAGCCTCCCCAACAGAGTTTTCTACTTTGCAGATGTACTCCCCACTGTCACTACTGTCTACCTGGCTGAAAACCAGAGTAGCAATTTGGTTCCTAAAGTGCATTTTCACAGTAGCAGTTCCTCTCAGCTTTGTATCGCCTTTGTACCATGACACAATCATTTCTGGTGTTCCAGCAACCTGGCACTGTAAGGATGCAGAATCCCCAACAGTCACCTGCACTGGCTCCAAGGGTGTAATGAAGTAAGGTGGTTCTGAAGGACAAAGACACAGCATTAGCATAAAAATATATTGAATGATGACCATTAGTAGTTCAAATAAAACTTGTTGAAGTGATGCTGGTTTGACGCACCTAGTATTGTGATTGTACCATGACAAGAGTCTTTCCCAGAATCATTTTCAATATGACAAGAATATTGCCCCTGGTCTTCTAGCTTGCTGCTAGAGATTTCCAGTATAGCAGATGTGTCTGTAGTGGTGATGCTACACTTTTCAGAGTGCATTATTTTCACTCCATTTTTCTTCCATGTCACTGAAATCGGTGGAGTACCCGTGTATGTGCATTCCAAGATTAAATTTTTCCCTTTCTCTACACTTAAATCATTCACCTTCTTCACAAATTTGGCTGGTTCTATAATGAACAACAGGAAGAAAACAAATTAAATAAAGCCAAGTGATCAAAAAGTGTAAGAGTGTAAGTATAAAGCAAAAGTATAAGAAGCAGTAGTCTGGACAAACCTTTGACAAAAAGATGTGTAGTGCAAGAAATTTTCCCTGCCTCATTAGAGACCTGGCAGGTGTAGTCTCCACTCTCAAGTGGATGTACATCAAACAGCTCCAGTTCTGCAACTGAATCTTGCAAGGTGATATTGCATCTGGGTCCTGGTACTAGCTCAACACTGCCTCTAAACCATTTAACTTCCAATGGAGGGGAACCTTTTACAATACTAGTAAAGGTTATATTTGCCCCAGATAAAACATCCAGTGGTTCAGGTTTCTTCACAAAAGATGGTGGTTCTAAGCACACAAATAAAAGAGACAAAGAAGAAGTACATTTGAACTTATTTTGAAGATCGCAGTAGTCAGAAATATTCAACAAAGAAAAAATGAAATCTCTCTGAAATAAAATTTGGACCTTCTGATTCTGACTTCTTACTGATACTGACCTCTAACACTCAAAAATGCGCTGCATTCATCAGACCCAGCTACATTAGTAGCTGTGCACAAATAAGTTCCCATATCAGACTCCTGAAGTCCATTCACTTTCAGAGAACAGGTATTGTCTGTAAGAGTAGCCTGATACTTCTCTCCACTGGTAATCTCTTGTCCATCATGAAACCAGGAAACCAGAATGGGTGGTGACCCATAAACCTTGCACTCCAGTACAGCAGAAGAACCCAGCTGACCATATGTTTCTTTCAGTTTTCTTGTGAAAGAAGGAGGTATAATACGATCTGCATTTGTTTCAAAATAAAAATAAAAATTATAATTACCATAACAGGGTTCTTAAAATGCAGGAAGTTCTCTGTGCATAATAAAATTAGTGACCTTTCTTTTGCTGTATCTGTTTTGGCAATATACTATGACACGTCTAAGTATTTGAAAAATAGGCAATGGTTAAGTACATGCTGGAACTTTGATTCACAACCTTTGAGGAACACATTTTATTTCTGCTGTTCTTTTTCATAAGCAACAATATTTCACCAGCTGTCCCCTTTCAATAATTCCTGCCCCTCAGAGTTTAGATAGGCATCTATTCTTGATGCCTGTCAAAGTGGCATACCAAATACTCCTAGGATTATACAACTCCCTTAAGTTGCCAATCACAAAAAAACACTTTGCTATCTGAAGGCTTTGTAAAAGAACTAAAGGATCAGAAATGACTCAAAAACAGTAGTTGACTAACCTGAAACGTGCACTGAAGCTGTGCAGCTGCTTTTACCAACACTGTAACTGATTTTATATTTATGGTCAGTGGACAGTTCATTACCATCCTTAAACCACCTAGCAGTAAGCTCTGGTGTGCCATCTACTGTGCATTCCAGAGTACAAGAGTCTCCAGCTGTAACTTTGACTGGGCCTGGCTTCTCTACAATAACTGCAGGTTCTGCAATGAAATGCAATTCAGAAAAATATTTAGAACAATGAAATAGCTATTATTATGATTAAGATTTAAATTTTAAAGCATCTTAAAGCATGTTGTGATTTTATCTCATGCTACCAACCTAGCACTTTCAGCATGGCAAAGCATTCCTGAACTCCAGCATCATTTTTTATCTGACAAATATATTTCCCAGCATTGGTTGGTTCTGCATTTCCAATCTGCATAGTTGCAACATTTTCTGAGTAGGAGATCCAAAGATTATCACTTTCTCTGATGATTTCCCCTTTGTCTTTCAACCACAGAACAGAAATGGGCTGTGATCCTTGTACGGCAGCCTGCAGTTCAACTGACTCCCCAACTACGACAGTGATATCGCTCAGCTTCTTCACAAAGGTTGGTGGTGCTATTTAAGAGAAGATATTTAACAGTAAAGAACTCTGCCAGGAGCAGAAAAGTAGGAGAAGAATTGCAGGAACAAAGAAATGCCAAGAAGATGCCAATCTTCGTACAAACCTCTTAGTGTTACTGAGCCAATACAGGAGTCACTTCCCACATCATTTACAGCCTTACAGTGATATTCACCAACATCTGCAGTGTCCACACTGAGAATGTGAAGACTAGCTATGTAGTTCTCAGACATGACCTTATACTTCTTGCTGCTCCGAATTTCTCTTTTGTCTTTATACCATGAAATCTGGAACGGAGGAGTGCCCTGAAGCTCACACTCCAGGTGAATATCAGACCCTTTCAGGGTCTCAACTGGATGGGGCTTCTTGGTAAAAACAGGGGGTGCTGAAAAAAAGAAAAATGAGTTATCGTTTGTGTTATTTAAGCAAAAGAGATTCAAGAGGAAAGAAGATTCAAGTAACTCTTCTGATGGCAAATAGCAAAGACAAACAGTAGATAAGAAAGATATACCACCAAGATCAAAAACAGACAAGAGATTTGCCATCTACTCAGACAGGTTTTGGTCTCTGACAAAAGAAAGTGGGATTTAAGAGCTTTTCCTAAAGGAGGACCCTCACAGTTAGAAAGGGAAGGAAAGAGTTGAGATTCTGACCTTTTACTCTCAGTGTAGTACTGGTGCTTGCACTACCCGCTGGATTCTGAGCTTCACAAGTGTAGTCACCACTGTCTTCAACACTGAGGTTGTGCATTTCAATGACTGCCACTGAATCCACAAAGGACATTCTGTATTTTTCACTGGGATGGATTTCAGTTTCACCTTTGTACCAGGTGACTGTGATTTCTGGAGATCCACCTATTTTGCATTCATATGTTGTAGAATCGTGCTGTTTCACAAGTTTTGAGGAGTCTAGTTTCTTAATAAACCTTGGTGGTTCTGGAAAGCCAAAAAGGGGAGATGATGCTTTAAACTGCACTAATTGTTTGAATAAGCAGGGAGATATGTAACTGAAACTGTAAACTGTTTAGGGACTTAAGCAACAATTCTGATTTTGCAATTGGTGTGAATTTTTTTTTTGATGATTTCAAGTTGGTCCAAAATCCAGATTAAAAAGCAAACAAGTTTTCTATATTTCAATGAGTTTCTCCTTAGTTTACCCACTGTACCTCTCCTTGTATGCATTACAGATTAGTTGATATATGTGGTTTTCTTCACAAAATATGCTCTTGCTATGCATGAGTAATCAAAATTCCTGATGCAACTGCAAGAATACAACTGTTCAGCCAAGAAATGCTATTAAAAGCATTTATGTTGAGTATTATAGCAATTGCTTTATATCCTGTGATTAATAATTAATGTAGTCAATAAATGTATCTGCATTATAACCCCACACACATTTAATGCAAAACTGAAAATAAAGTTGCACATAAGGAATAAAAGTAAAGGAGTTTAGGTAGCAAACAAAAGAGCTTAGAAATAACCATGCTGAGGAGAATTATGAGATGGCTGGTATTACAGACATTGGTGTTAAATATCCTGTGATTGAAAAGTAAAACAGATGGCTACGTTTTGTTCCATAAGGAGAGGAAAGGAGTGGAAGTTTGATACTTTTCATCAAAAGTAACATCTAGATGATTAGAATCACAAGACTGAATGCTCATAGATCAAAGACATAACTAGTAAAACTAAGAGGTGGTAACGTGGGCACAACAAACAAATCTCTCTGCAAAACAGGATGAAGTGCCTCTTTATGTGACTGTCTGTAAAGTGTAGGAAGAATATCTAAATAATTGTGGATTATTTCAGCCTGTGGGATGGTTGCAGAACATCCTGTGTTGCTAGAAACAAAACTTCCTGAGTTTCTAAAAATAGAAATGATGATTTGTTAACATCAGAACTCCTGGAACCTTAGCAATTTGCTATTGGATTTCACTTTGAGAAAGAGTTGATTATCTATCTGCACATTAACAGCTGCTGAGTAGTCACACTCTGATTCCACTCCTTTCAAAAAATGAGGGTATGCACATTAGTAAGGTGTATATGTAGAATGTAAAGCAGTTCTAGAACTGCAATATATTAAATATATATAATTGCAATAAAGCAATTATTAAAACCACAGATTGTGAACATCAGATGCTAGAGTGAGAAAGTTAATAAAAAGCTGTGAGATTTTCAAGGTCTGTTAAAAGCAAGATCTTAATTCTACAAACGTAAGGCTGCATGTCATAGAAGTGAGACAGTATATGCTCAAATTAAATGCATACAAATCAATGTGCCCAAAGAGATTGCCCTTTCAAGTTTTATAGAAATTGGTTGAAAAAAATCAACATCACTTATTTTACAGTCTGGGGAAACTGTAAAAATTTTAAAGAATACTGACACTAGAGAGTGCCAGTAAATTCACAGTCAAAAAATAAAATAATAATACTGAGAAAACTCCTCAGGAAAATAAAGAGGAAAGAAACCACTAAAGTAACGGGACCTTTTAACTCAGGCATGATCTAAGCACTATATGTTACATTTCTTCTTTTATAAAATCAGTAAGATTGAAATATCCTGTACAGCTATAAATATGTTCCCACCTACATTGAGGAAATTGTGCTAATATACATGTGTCATTTGCACCAAGACAGTCTGAGCCATTAATAAAGTTAGATTTTACTTTTAGATCCACACGCTATAAGGAGAGGTGAAGTGTTGGGTGGGATGGATATTTGTCACCAAATCTGCTCTCAGACTCCCCAGTTTTGCCGCTTAGAAAAGCAATTTTAAATGTTTTCAATCTGTGAAAGACCAAAGCTATTTGCAGGAGCTGCACATGCAGTAAAAATACTTTTAAACCTCATAAGTGAACCGAATTTCTCTCGGTTTCCTTTCACTCCTCTGAGCAATCTAGTGACTGTCACTGCTGGAGAAAGACTTTAGAAAGACAGATTTTTCTGTTCAATAGATCCATTCATAAAGGTGCAACAAAGTAACAAGGGAGAGTTAATGTTCCAGTGGAAGAATGCCTTTGATAAGAAAAATCATGTACTATACCAAAGCAGAAGAAATAGAAGTATTTAAGTATTACAGTAACATTTAAGTGAAATAAGACATCTCAGAGTAACCTCCTGTAAAGATTGTTAGTTGCACACACATCTGCATTTGGGACTATGTTTTCCAGGTATCTGCCTTGCAAAGAGAACCTCATAAGCACTAGAGCCCACAGCAATACCTTGTACAGCCAGCTGAGCTGCGCACGCGTCCTTTCCAACACTGTTGCTGGCAGTACACGTGTAGAGTCCAGCATCCCCTTTACCAACTTTTAGGACTGTCAAGCTGGCTGTGTTTTCCACCAGTGTCATTTTGTAGTTGCCACCTGGACGAATCTCTCTGTTGTCTCTAGTCCAAGTAATTCTCATGGGAGCAGAACCAGTCACGTGGCACTTAAAGGTTGCACTTTCCCCTAGTGCCACATCGATAGATACCGGCTTGACATCAAAGAAGGGAGGTTGTAAGTGTTCTGTAAAGAGGAAAGCATGGCAGAGCTCACCACCAAGCCTGGCTCACCACGCCATGCCCATTGTTCCTGGCCACCATACAATGGGTAGAGTGGGAAAAAGGGGTGGAGAAGTAAAAGAGCAAAAACATACAAAAGATTTTCATTAAAGTGTGATCTACAAACCTGTAAGGAGAAGTTTGGCACTGGAAGAGGCAGTCCCCAGAGCATTTTGGGCTGAGCAAGTATATTGGCCACAGTAATCCATACTAGTTTCTAATATCTGTAAAGTCGCAACATTATTTAAGAAGGCTGATTGCATGTTATCAGTGTCACTTAAGAGAACCCCATCCTTGTACCAAGACACCTGGATAGGCTCTGAGCCAGTTATGCGGCAGTCAAATGTCACTGGGGCACCAACCACCTCCTGAATGTCTTTAAGTTTTCTGGTGAATGTAGGGGGAAGTTGACGTTCTGCAAAAGAATAATAATCACCACTATCAGTAGGAAGCCAATCTAGAATTAATTATCTTTGAAATTAATAAAACCCAGTTTCTGTAGACAACAGAGTTCCTACAAACTACCCCACAAAGAGTGGCTCTTGGCCCATCACCTTTAACAACAAGCAAAGCTGTGGAGGTGGCAAAGCCGATGGTATTTTCTGCTTTGCAGATATATTCTCCAATGTTGCTATCCTCTACAGCGGAGAACGCCAGTGTTGCCACGTTGTTCTTGAAGTGCATTTTGTAAGTCTGTGTTGATCTGAGCTTGGTGTCATCTTTGTACCAGGACACCTTGATTTCTGGTGAACCGCCAATCTGGCATTTTAAGGTCAAAGGCTCACCAAGCTTCACCTCCACACGGTCCAGGTGTGTGACAAAATAAGGTGGTTCTAGGGAAGGAGAGAATGGGGTGAGCAGAGGCAGAGCATCACTGGGGTTCATTAGGGGCATCAGGGGTGCTGAATACCTAAGACGGATACAAGGCTGTGGCAAACATCCCCACCCGCCTCATTTGCCACCTCACAGGTATATTCGCCTTCATCATTCTTTGTGCTGTTGAAGATTTCAAGAATGCCAGATTTTTCAGTAGTTGTAACAGTGCAGCGTTGAGACTGAGCAATGGGCATGCCATTTCTTTTCCAGGTGACAGTGATGGGAGGGGTGCCAATGTAGCTGCTTTCGAGCACAATGGACTTCCCCTGCTCCACACTGAAATCACTTAATTTCTTCACAAAGACTGCAGGCTCTGTAAGGAGTTATAAATCAATAGTAAGAGGGACAGATGTGGAAGAGCTGCAGGTAGGGAGTAAATGAAGATAACTGTGCATTCATGCACACACCCAAACACACCTTTCACAAAGAGCTGTGTTGTACATGAGGCACTGCCAGCATCATTTGTGACCACACAGGCATAGTCCCCGCTGTGGCCTGGCTCCACGTTGTACAGCTGCAGCTGTGCCACAGACTCATTGAGAGAGATGGAGCAGCTGCTGTCTGGCACCAGCTCCCTGATGCCTCGGAACCAGGTCACTTTGAAGGGAGTACTGCCCTTGATGTAGCTGGTGAATGTCACATTTGATCCAGGCAAAACTTCCTGGGGATCAGGTGTCTTCACAAAAGAAGGTGGTTCTAAGGATCATGCAAAGAAGTGAAAGAGGGAGAAAGACGTTAATAGGAGGGTCTCTGTGGGGAGGAAAATGAGCAGATTTGAGTCAAAAAGAAAAAAAGAAAAAGAAACCATGGGAAAAAAACCCAAACCAAACAAACCACTAAAAAGAAACCATGGGAAACCAGAGGAAAAAAAACAGAAGAGGGAAGAAGAATTTTGTTGAAGGCATGGCAGTATCCTTCCACTGACCTTGTACAGTCAAGAAGGCACTGCATTCATCAGATCCAGCCACGTTGGCTGCCACACATGTATATGACCCTGTATCTGTGACATCCAGGGCATTCAACTTCAAAGCACAAACATTATCCAAGAACGAGATTTCATATTTTTCTCCACTAACAATCTCATTCCCATCTTGAAACCAAGACACAGATATGGGAGCTGTGCCAGATACTTTGCACTCCAGCAGCACAGAGGACCCCAGCACCCCATTTGTCTCCTTTAGTTTTCTTGAGAATGAAGGAGGAACAAGGCGATCTAAGTAGGACAGGGCAGAAGAACAGGAAGACAAGTGTTGAGGTTTCTTTCAAGGTAAGAAAAGGGGAAAACATAAAAGCTTTCTTTAAAGAGAAGAGTGAATAATAAAGACATAGAGCTGACCTGAAACATCAACTGAAGAAGTGCAGCTGCTGTCTCCCACTTCATTGTGCACCTCAAAAGTGTACAAGCCCTTGTCTCCCCTGTCTGCAGAAAAGACTTTCAAAGTGGATATATTGTTGAAAAAGGTAATTTGGTATTTGCGGTCACTCTTCAGTTCTCTGCCATCTTTGTACCACTTGGTGATAAGCTCAGGTGTTCCTCCTACTTTGCACTCCAAGGTAAAAGGATTGCCAGCCATTACTGTGATTGGCTCGGTCTTCTCTAAGATGACTGCTGGTTCTGAAATAGGAAGGGAGGGGTCTGTGTGTCACAGGGAAATCTACCCATAAACTTGTGAGCACAGGGTGTAAGCAGAAGGCAAAGGCTGGTAGAGCCACCTGTGCAAGCTGTAAGACACAGCACCTATAGTGGAGTAGGCTATACCCACCTAGGACCTGTAAAAAGGCAGAGCACTCCCGCATGCCAGCATCATTTTTGATCTGACAGATGTATTTTCCAATGTCAGTTCCCTCTGCACTGGCAATCTCAAGAGTTGCAATGTTGTCCATAAACCACATTTGAACATTTTCACTCTCCCTAATAACTTCACCCTTATCCTTGAGCCAGACAACAGAAATTGGTGGGGATCCTTCCACTACTGCCTGCAGGGCTGTTGGCTCCCCGATGAAGATTGCAGTGTCACTCAGCTTCTTGGCAAACCGTGGAGGTTCTGATAGCAAAAAAAAGGAGGCAGAGGACAGTTAATCATAAATGCTTGCTTGGAAGAGCGACAGCCAGGAGCTCAAGAAAAGAGGGCAGTGATGTTGGTCCTCTAGTATACAAACCTTTGAATTTCACTGGGCAGGTGCAAGTGTCGCTTCCCACCTCATTCATAGCTTTGCATTGATATTCTCCAGTATCCTGAGATTCCAAATTGAGAATATGAAGACTGGCAACGGAGTGCTTTGCTGTCACCTTGAACTTCTTGCTGCTCCTGACCTGCCTCCGGTCCTTGAACCAAGCCACCTCAAAGGGTGGGGTCCCTGCTATCTCGCACTGAAGGATAACATCTGAGCCTTTAAGAGTGTCCACAGGGCTTGGCACCTTGCTAAAAACAGGTGGTTCTATAAAAAAAAGAATTGCATCATAATGTGTGAGCTTCCTTCTCTGGTGGGTTTCTGGATAGCAGCAGGAAGCAGCATATTCAGGAAGGGAGCCTACGCTTATATTGTAAACACATATTCAGCTTTTAAATATGTGGCCTCACCTCTAAAAAATCCCAGCACTCAGAGTCCAAAGGGCAGAAAATGTGATACTTCTGCACCTGTTTGGAATCAGTGTCCTTCCCCAAAAGCCACTCTCCCTGCACTCTAGGGTCACATTCCATCTTATATTCAATCTTTCCCCCCTGCTCTTTCTAGTCATGAAAGTTACAGTCAATGAAGCTCAGCTACACAGCCTCCTCTTCCGTCTTAAATTTCATTCCTGTCAGTATCACTGTGTATAAAAAGGAGGCAGAGGATGGCTGGGAAGTATTCCCAGCTCCCTCACCATGGCTGGTGTTCCATCTAGACCATGTTTCTCTTGTGATCTGAAAAGCTTGCCTTGTTCAGCCTGCAACTGATTTAAATGGGGAGACAAGGGAATGACTGCACAGTGCTGAACACCCACCACAGTTTCCTGCCTGATCTCTGCTGTTTCAACACATCAACATTTTAATGCAAGAGCAGCTGCAGAGACACTGGCCCAGCAGCCACCAGCTGCTGCAGCAGCAGTGGGATGTGCAGCTGGGAGCAGGCCTGGCAGTCAGGGATGCTGGTGGAGTGTGGAGACACGTGCTAACCTTTCACTGTGACTGAAGTGCTGCAGCTGGCTGTGCCAGCAGAGTTGTGGGCTTCACAGATGTAATCCCCAGCATCTTCAGCACTGGCACCCAAGATGGTCAGCGTTGCCACGGAGTCTACAAAGGACATGTGCAGCCTGTTGCTTGCCTGGAGTGCCTGATCATTTTTGTACCACACAATTCTTATCTCTGGTGTGCCACTGATTTTACATTCAAGCTGAACTGTGTCCCCTTGCTTCACGAACCGCAAAGCTTCAGGCTTCTTGATGAACTTGGGAGGTTCTGCAGAACAGAATAAGCATGTAGAAAATGACAACATACTTGTGAAATTTACAGTGCTGAGCAAGAGTTTTGGGAGGCACAAGAGTACTACAGCACAAAAATAAAATTGTTACGGAAGTTGGCTGCATCCCCAGCCAGAGTTTCCTCTCAAGGAAATACAGAAGATGAAGAAAAGAAGGCAAAGAGGACAACTAAAACTATGTTCTGCCAGCTTTGGACCCAGCTGATTCAGACAGTTGAAGCTGTAAAAGATACACAGAGAATGGTTGCTCCACCCAATTGAATTTTGCTGTTACCTTTGAGTGGTAACAAGTAACAGGGCTCCCAGCCAACATAGAAGATTTGACAAGCCCTTCATCCCTGGGGACAACAGAAACACGGTAGGGATTGTTTCATTTGCTTACACATCTTTAAAGTATATTTCTGCATGAAGAAATTAAATAATTCATAGCCTAGATTAAATCAATAATTCAGAACGCCAACTGAAATCTTTAGCAAATTTGAAAGAGTCACCTATGCAGGCCAAAAAATGCAAGGTAGAGCTGTATTTACTAATAATTTTCCGTATAGCAATTGCTATGAGTGACTACCACAGTGACTATAGTTTAACTATTACAGTAAAAAGCAGTGTGACTACAACTCTCCATACAAACAGATTCACACAGGTACCTTTCTCCCTGGAGACTTTGCAGGCACACAAGACTTCTGCAGTTACACAGTATGATGGGAGAGGGTCATAACATGATTTATGCCTGCAGTTTGGGAAGCTACTTTCTATATATTTCTAAACTAGAAATGGTAGAAGATCAAAGACAAAGAGAATTCTTTACCCAAGAAAAAGAAAATGCACAAAGATGACTTGTTCTTAATACCTTTGACACTGAGTTGGGCTGAGCAGAAGTCTTTCCCAGCTTCATTACTAGCTTGGCAAGTATACTGGCCAGAGTCTCCTTTACCCACTCTGAGCACTCGAAGGTGGGCTGTGTTGGCTGTGAATGTAATATTGAAATTTCCTCCAGTTCGGATCTCCCGACCATCCTTGGACCACGTTATGTGTATGGGCTGAGCTCCCGTAACATGACATTCAAAATCAGCACTTTCTCCAAAAGGCACATCAATAGATTCTGGTTTGATGTCGAAGACAGGTGCTTGCTTGGGTTCTAGAAACACAAGAAAACCATGTAATACTCATACCTCAGAAAAAAGCTAACCCAACACACAGATAACATTGCATGAAATAAGAGGGAGGAACCTGTGATCCAAGTAAAATTTTATAAGCCAACACACCTGCCACTGTGAGCCTAGCACTTGAGGTGGCAGTGCCCACAGAATTGGTGGCTGTGCAGGAGTATTGCCCAGTATGGTTCATCTCGGTTCGCACCAGTTGCAGCACTGCAACGTTATCTACAAAGGATGTGTGCACATTGTGGTCATCCTTCAGCAGCACACCATCCTTGTGCCAAGTGACAGTAATGGGTTCTGAGCCATTGAGCCGGCACATAAGCTTAAGGGGTAAACCGGCAGGGTGTTCAATGTCCTTCAGTTTTCTTGCAAAAGAAGGTGGTTGTTTGCGTTCTGGAAGAAAGCAAGTAAAGGATAAATACACCCCAGGAATCAACCTTTTTATAGTTTTGCAAGAGAAAAAGGGTTTTAGCAAACTAATATAAAAATCACCTTGAACGGTTAAGAGAGCCTTTGTAGATGCAGTTCCTACGCTGTTTTCAGCCTTGCAGATATATTCTCCACTGTCGCTGCTAGCCACCTTGTTGAAAATAAGTGTAGCAATATTGTCTTTAAAGAACACTTTATACTCAGGAGTAGACCTGAGTTTTGTATCACCTTTGTACCAAGACACAGTAATTTCTGGTGTTCCAGCAACATGGCATTGCAATGTTGTGTAAGACCCAACTGACACCTCAAGAGGTTCCAAGTGTGTAACAAAATAGGGAGGTTCTAAAAAAGGAGAAGCAATTAGTCAGGCTTATTGTGTGCCAGGTATTGGAAAAAATACACTTGAAAAAATGGCAAGGAAAAGAAGCAGAAGGAGCACACACCTAGAGTAGTGACTACAGCCTCACAAACATCTCTTCCTGCCTCATTTTCAACATGGCAAGTGTATTCTCCTGCATCTTCTTTGCTGCTGTCAAGTATTTCCAGGATGCAGGATTTCTCTGTGGTGGTGATGCTACACCTCTCAGATTGGGTGATGGTGTGGCCATTCTTCTTCCATGTCACAGAGATGGGCAGGCTGCCTGTGTAAGTGCCCTCTAGGATGATAGGCTTGCCAGGCTCCACATACTGATCACTCAGTTTCTTCACAAAGACAGCTGGCTCTAATGAAAGGTAAGTCACAAATGTTGAGCACAACATGCTAAATGGAAAGAAGGAAACAATAATTTAAGGTAAATGGAGAGACATCATCTTTACAAACCTTTTACTGTAAGGTGTGTTGTACAATTTACCCTGCCAGCATCATTAGTCACTAGACAAGTGTACTCTCCGCTTTGGGGAGGAGTTACATCAAATAACTCAAGCTCCACAACGGACTCCTCCAAGTAGATATTGCATTTGTCCCCTGGCACAAGTTCATTGGCCCCTCTAAACCAGTTAACCTTGAAAGGAGGGGTTCCTCTGACAACACATGTGAAAGTGATGCTTGTGCCTGGCAATACATCCAGAGGCTCTGGGGTCCTCTCGAAAGAAGGTGGCTCTAAATATACAAAAGAAAAAGATAAAACAAATTGCTGTAGCATAGCTCTGGTCTTTCCACATACCTACTGAAGATAAAGAGCAAAATCTTTCTTTTTCAATAATTTTTCCCAAGAATATTTACAAAAGACTACTCATAATGTCAAGAGAGAAAGATAAAAGAAAAGCTCAGAGAGCTTCCTGACCATCATATACCCACCTTGTACAGTCAATACAGCACTGCATTCATCTGAGCCAGCTGTGTTGGTAGCTTTGCAGGTGTAAGTGCCAGTATCTGAGTGGCTCAGTGAATTAACTTCTAAAATACATAGGTTGTCTGAAAAGGAGATTTGATGTTTTTCTCCACTAACTAGCTTAAGTCCATTTTGGAACCAGGCAACAGAAATAGGAGGTGAACCTGACACTTTACATTCCAGCAGTGCTGAGGAACCCAGAACACAAGGGGTTTCCTTTAGTTTTCTTGTGAAAGAAGGAGGAATGATTCGATCTGCATAAGAAAACATAATAAATCTATGGTTATAGAGAAAATGAGTAAAAGAATGGAAGAAAAGACAGGGAATATGTCCAAACAAAAGCTTTTGTAAAAGATAGAAGATAAGCTACCCAACCAACCTAAAACATCAACCGATGCTGTACAACTGCTTTTCCCCACGTCGTTTTGAACAGCAAAAGTGTACAATCCACCATCTTCCTTTTCTGCATCCATAATTTTAAGTGTAGATACATTATTGAGGAAAGTGATTCTGTATTTTTGGCTGCTGGTCAGTTCTTTGCCATCCTTGAACCACCCAGTGGAAAGCTGTGGTGTGCCAGCTACTTTGCATTCCAAAGTACAGGCATCTCCTATAGTAACTTTCATTGGCTCTGCTTTCTCTACAATGACTGCAGGCTCTGGAAGGAGAGATGGGTGACATATATGGTTAAATCAGGGTATGAGTAGAATTAGCTGTAAGTATTATTGTACTATGAGATGGGGTTTGCACATATGATACTTACGAAATTTTTATTTGTTGGGGTGTGAAGATTTTTACAGCTGTTTTTAACATCCTTTCTGTTACCCTAAACTGCGAATTTCAGATGCTTTCCAAAATTAAGTAAAAATATTTTTAAATATTTTAAATAATTTTTAAGTATATTTTAATTTTAAATATCAAATATTTTAATCTCCCTCTCCAAGCAGACATGAGCAGAAGATGTGACAGAAATACAGAGTGGTTCCTTTCAATCCTACTGTTGGACAACTGGAAATAAGGAACCTGACTTCTGGTTGTTGGGAAGAGAAGGATTCTCTATTTTGTTTGTTTTGAACTCAGAGGCATAAGCAAAGTATACAGCTAAATAGCTGTATACTGTTAGCCAAGTTGCTAACTTTTTAAAAAAAAACCTCCATGAATTTGTGCTTTTTACCCACCTAGAATAGTTAAGGTAGCCATACATTCGCGACTTCCAGCATCATTTCTGATCTGACAGGTATATTTTCCAGCACTGCTTGTTTCTGTGCGCACAAATTGCAAAGTTGCAATATTTTCCGTAAATGTGATCTTTGTGTTCTCACTTTCTCTGATAATTTCCTCTTTGTCTTTAAGCCACTGCACAGAAATTGGCTGGGAGCCCTCCACTCTTGCTTGCAACTCTACTGGTTCACCAACCACGACAGTAATGCTGTTTATTTTAGTCAAGAATTTTGGTGGTTCTGAAGAAAAAAGATCAGTTACAGTAAATACAGTGTTTCTGCAAAGAAGAGCAATGCAGCACCCTTGGGAGCGCTGCAGAAGACATGTGTACCAGTACTTTACCTTTCAGCTTCACAGTGCAAATACAAGTGTCACTTCCTACGTCGTTCTGTGCTTTGCACTGATATTCACCAACATCTGCAGCTTCGGCATTAAGAATGCGAACGCTCGTGTGGTAGTTTTTGGCTGTAACCTTGTACTTCTTACTACTGCGGATTTGTCTCCTATCTTTGTACCAGGCAACATCAAACGGAGGTGTTCCTGAAATCTCACATTCCAGGCTAACCTCAGATCCTTTGACAATGTCTACTGGAGAAGGCTTCCTGCTAAAGACAGGAGGTTCTAACAAGGGAAGAAAGGAACATTTAGAAAGTAGTCTGAAGCTCTTTGATTGACAAAGAGTCTACAGATACCAGCTTCTGGAAAATGGGACTGCTGAGAATACCTACAGAATGGGCAAGACTTCTCTCATTTTCTGGGCACAATATTAAATGAGCTTGCACAAAGGTGAGAAGTAAGAGCCCTTAGCTCCCCTTTAGAAAAGGTAAACAGAGGGGTGACCTTTGGCAGAGAGAGTGCAAGTCTCATTTAGCTGGTAGTAATCTCCCATACAGGATGTAAAACTGGCACTAGTCAGTTTTTGTCTGTTCTTTCTCTTCATATTTCAGCTCCTTGATACAGCAATTCTCACCATGAACTGTCTTGGATATTAATGGAGAAAAACTAGCTTAGGGCTCATCTGCATTAAGAACATCATCTCTCTTGTTTAGACACTAGCAGAGAAGATGAAGGGGCATCAAGAAACAAACATAACATGAAGAACAGGGCAGTCGTGAAATAAATCAATCTCATGTTCCTGTGTATTTCTAAGGGATACAACCAGCAGGGGAAAAATAGGATGCAGTTGGAGAACAAGAGGACAGCTAACCTTTCACTGTGACTTTGGTGCTGCAGCTGGCTTTGCCGGCAGGGTTGTGAGCTTCACAGATGTAGTCACCGCTCTCATCAGTGCTCAGATGATTCATTTCAAGCACAGCCACAGAGTCAATGAATGATGTCCGGAATTTTTCACTGGCAACAATTTCATGATCATTTCTGAACCACACTACTTTCATCTCTGGAGATCCACTTACTTTGCACTCAAGCCGGGCTGAGTCACCCTGCTTGACTACTTTTGCTGCCTCTAGCTTCTTAGCAAACTTGGGGGGTTCTAAAAAACCAAAAAAAGTGGGGTCAGGAAGGTCTGAATTAATACTGGAGAGAAAATAGGTGGGAAAAGAGCCAAACAACTATGGGTTGCAAACACAGGGTAGGGAATTCACTTGTCAGTGTATCGAAGATCACCAAGGTGAGCTTGGCAAAAAGGAAGGAGAAGAAGGAGACAAAAAGACAGCAACACAACAAGAAAGACTGCACACCTGTTACCATCAGTGTTGTAGTGCAAGAGTCACTGCCAACGTCATTTGAAACATGGCAAGTGTAGTGCCCACTCCTAGAAGAATCCACTGAATAGAGGGTTAAGAACCCAATTGAACCTTCAATCCCAATGAAACAAGTTGGACCAGATACAAGTTCTAAGTCTTCTTTGAACCACTTTACTGTAAAGGGTGGTGTTCCTTTCAGTGTGGCCTTAAACTCCACCGTGGAATCTGGTATGGCTTGCTGGCTTTCAGGTTTTACTAAGAAGCTTGGTGGCTCTGCAGTTTTTAAGAAAAAGACACAGTTACATCACAAATGTCCAATAATGAAGAAGATCAGTGAGGCAATCATGGAGACCAAGTTTTCAGTATTAACATTAAGATGTATAAGAGTGTTATGTTAGCATAAGATTTAAGTATTTTCCCAGCACTTATCACAGATAAGAAGTAGCAAAAGAGTTTCAAACCTTTCACAGTCAGGACAGCACTGCAAGAATCATTTCCAGCAACATTAGAGACACTGCATGTGTAATTTGCGCTGTCTGTCAGCTCTAGATTAGCAATTTCGAGTGACATAGTGTTCTCATGGCACAGGCTTCTATATTTTGCACTGTCAGTTATCTCTTTTCCATCCTTAAACCATTTTGCAACAATGGGTAGTGATCCGGAGACTTTGCACTCCATTTGGATAGAAGATCCCAGAATAGTATCCTTTTTGGTTAGCTTTTTGATAAATACAGGAGGAATTGATTGATCTGGCCAACACAAAAAATAGCAAAAATACACTTGTTAACTTCTTATCTTTCACAGAGATTATTTTTCACTCCCTCCCTGATAGATTGGCAATACAAACCTAGCACAGTCAGAACAGCTTCACAGGTGCTGCTTCCGAAGTCATTTTCAACCTTAAAACTGTAAGTACCACTATCCTCCTTCGATACAGGTTCGATCCTGAAACTGGCCACATTGTTTTCAAAGCTCATTGTGTAGTATCTACTGGGCAGGAGCTGCTTGCCATCCTTGTACCATCTTATTCGGAGCTCTGGTGTCCCAGCCACAGTACACTCCAAAGTCACAGGATCTTTTTCAGTGACTTTAAGTGATTTAGCCTTTTCTATGATCTGTGCAGGCTCTGAGGTATAAAGAGTATAAAAATTACAGCAGTTAGCTACTTAGAGAGGGAACTGACTTTCCAAGTACTCATCAAGGTCACATCTTGTACACACCTTGTACAAAGAGCAAAGCAAAGCACTTCTCCACGCCAGATTCATTCTTTGCCTGACAGGTATATCTCCCTCTGTGGCTGAGGTCAACATTAGTAAGCTTCAGTGTGGCCACCCTGTTCTCAAAGGTAATGTGGTGGTGTTCATCATCTTCTAGTATTTTCTCATCTTTTATCCATGACACAGATAAGGGCTGTGCACCTGCTACGACGCACTGAAAGAATGCATCACCTTTCAAAATGCTAGTGACGTTCTCCAGCTTCTTGACAAAGGACGGTGGTTCTGTGGTGTGAGTTTTGTTTGTTGTTTGGAAGAGAAGTCGTTGAAAGGGAAGAGAAGAAAGAGAGATCATATAAAGTAATCCCAGTTGCAACACTTTATCTGGGGCATACAATGTTTGAGGTGTGCTTCCTAGAGGACTGACCTTTTAAGCTGAGTCTTGTGCTGCAAGAACAGCTCCCACCTTCATTTGATATAATACACTGATATTCACCAACATCTGAGATGTCACAGTTAGTCACATTAAGAGTAAATACTGATTCTTTGGTGGAAATGGCATATTTCTTGCTGCTGAACATCTCCTTATTGTTCTTCAGCCACTTCACCTCAAATGGAGGGGTACCAGTCACCTCACATTCTAGTGTGGCCTCTGAACCCTTCACTACCTCAGTGGGACGCAACTCCCGAACAAAGGTTGGAGGCTCTATAAAGAAGAATGAGGGGAAAATAGATAGTAACCCTAAATAGTTTTGAGGGGAGAAGAAGTATCTCCTACTTCCTCACCCCAGATACATGACAGAGATGACAAGATGTTCAAAACCAACCTTTTACTTTCAGCTCGATGCTGCAGCTCTCACTACCTGCATCATTGTGGGCTTCACAAACATAAATCCCACTATCTGCCACTCTGGCTTGAGTGATTCTCAAAGTGGCTAAACCATCTATGAAGGAGATGCCGTACTTTGCTTGGTCAGTCACTTCATTCCCATCCAGGTACCATGTAATGTGGATCTCTGGCGTGCCTACTACCTGGCACTCAAAAGTGGTGGACTGTCCGTCACGCAAAGCTACTACAGAAGTTGGCATCTGAATAAATCTGGGGGGCTCTAGAAGATGGACAGAGAAGTTGAGGCTTTTTAATATTCAAGGTAGGAATAAAAAAATCCCAGAATTTAAAGAAAAAAAAAAGCTAAAAGGCTTCCTCCCCCTCCCACCAAAACTGCACAGAAAAATCAGAACCAAAAAAAATTAAATTGGGTTGCACACCTTTTACAAACAGAGTTGCTTTGCAGGTCGCAGTCCCCACATCATTGCTTATCTGACAAGTGTAGTTCCCAGAATCAGATGTCCTAGCTGAGAAGAGCTCCAGAACACTAGAAGTGTCGTCCTTCCAGACAGATCGGCTGGCTCCAGACAGGAGCTCCTGGCTGTCTTTAAACCACTTTATCTGCATAGGAGTAGACCCTTTCACCAGCGCTTTGAACTGAACCCTAGCATTGGGCACAACCTCTTGAGACTGGGGTTTTTCCACAAAATATGGTGGTTCTATAACATGCAAAAAAGAAGAAAGGAGATAACTCTGAGATGGGGAAATCCAAAATTATGAATGAGAGACCTAACACAAGACAAAGAAGGAATTCAAACCTTTGACTGTTAAGAACCCGCTGCATTGGTTGCTTCCAGCTTTATTTGTAGCTTCACAGGTGTAAGAGCCACTGTCTGTGCCTTCCAGTTTATTTATTTCCAGAAATGCAGTATTATCATGGAAAGAGTATTTGTGCTTTTCACTTGCTGTTATTTCTTGGCCATCCTTATACCACTGTATACTTATGGGATGTGAACCAGACACTATGCACTCCAGGTGGACAAAAGACCCCTTAATGCTGTCCATTTTCTTGAGTTTTTTGGTGAATTTAGGTGGTATAATGAGATCTATCCAAGACAGAGTAAAAAGATAAAATATGAAATTCAATCATGATTGTGGTAGATGTCAGCTCAGGAGAAAAGATTCTGTATCTAAAAACAATAATAAGAGAGAGCTCATACACACCTAGGACATTAATGCTGGCAGAACAGCTACTGCTCCCAACGTCATTTTGAACCTCAAAAATGTATTCTCCACTATCTTTCTTATCTGCATAAAGCACCTTTAAGACTGAGACGGTATCTGTAATGCTGATCTTATATTTTGGGCCCAATGTCAGTTCCTTGCCATCTTTGAACCATTTGGCTGTAATAGGTTTTGTTCCTGAAAATTTACACTGCAAGGTTGCTGGGTCTCCCTCAGTCACATCTATTGACACAGCCTTGTCCACAATTGTAGCAGGTTCTGTTATAAACAAGGAGATAGAGTGTTAACTGCATCTGTAAAAATCAAAAGGGAACCATCTCAGATGATTGCAAGCCCTCAGGGTAAGACCAACCTTTGACAGTCAGCAGAGCAGAGCACCTCTGAATTCCTGCCTCGTTTTTAGCCTGACAGAAATATTTCCCATCATGTTTCAGCTCAATAGATCTCACCATAAGAGTGGCAACATTGTTCACAAAGGTCATTTTGATATTGTTGTCTTCAATCACTTCATCATTGTCTTTCAACCAGGACACAGTAATGGGTAAGGAACCTTTAATAGCAGCCTGAAACACAACTGTTCCCCCTCGAAGGGAGCTAATGTTTTCTATCTTCTTCAAAAACTGCGGAGGCTCTGGCAGGGAGAAAGTGGGTATGTAAGTACAAGTCTGGTGTGTAACAGTGTGGCATGAAAACCACACTGGGATAAGAGCATGCTAGTGGTGTTCTGCACCTTGCACTAACCTTTCAGCGTGACCTCTGAACGGCAGAGGCAGCTCCCAACATCGTTGGTTACTCTACACTGATACTCGCCAACATCAGAAGCATCAAACCTGAAAACGTGGAGGCTAATCAAAGATTTCTCAATGCTTATTCTGTGCTTCTTACTGCTCCGCACGGGTTTATCATCTTTCACCCAAAACACTTCAAAGGGAGGCGTGCCAAGCACCTCACATTCCAAAACCACATCAGAATCCTTCAAGACTTCCATGGATTGAAACTCCTTGCTAAAATAAGGTGACTCTACAGTGCAAAAAAAGAAAGTGCAATTTGCATTAATCATACTTTTGAAGCTGGTACCGCTGTACTAAGTTTAAAGAAACAAATGGTGTGGCTGGATGTCACACACACCTTTAACTGTAACAACACTACTGCAGATATCTTTTCCAGCGTCATTTTTGGCTTCGCAAATGTATTCCCCACTGTCTTCAGTATCAGCCTCCAAAACACGGAGTATTGCCAAAGATTTTGTAAAAGATATCCTGTATTTGTCACTCTCTTTTAGCTCTCTATCATCCTTGAACCACGTGATTTTAATCTCAGGAGTTCCAGTGACTTCACAGGTCAGCTCAGCATATCCACCTTTCTTTACCAGGTGAGTCGGCTCTAGCTTCTCCTTGAAGGCAGCAGGTTCTGTGGATTTAAGAAGAGTGTTCAGGACAACGAACACAGGAAAGAGTGCTGCTGTGTTAAACCAGCAGCTAGAATTTTAAATAAGAGTAAGAATGCAAACCTTTCACAAATAAGTTTGCACTGCATGTTACTGAACCAGCTACATTGGAGACTTTGCAGGTGTATTTTCCAGAATCAGTTGGTTTGACTGCATAAAGCTCCAAGTAACTTGCTAATGCTTCTGTCATAATGTAGCAGGCTCCTCCTGTCACCAGCTCAGTATCATCTTTAAACCATTTCACTGTCAGTGGTGTTGTGCCTTTAAACATTCCTTTGAAATGTACAGTTGATGCAGGCAATACATCTTGAGACTGTGGTTCTACAGTGAAGCTGGGTGGCTCTGGATTGCATTGAAAGGAGAAAATTGTTAAGAGTAAGAGAGGGCTTGTATTTTGGGAAAGAAAAGTATTATCACAAGATAAGTAAAATTCCAAGAAAAATGAAACAAATTGCCAAACCTTTTATAAACAAAGTGCTACTGCTCTCTTTGCTACCAGCAGAGTTTGTGGCTCTGCAAATGTAGACCCCAGCATCATTTGCATCTAGGTGTTTTATTTCCAAAGATGCTGAGCCTTCTGCAAAGTGTACTGTGTACTTGGCACTTGAAGTGATCTCAGTATCCTGCTTAAACCATGAGACAGTCATTGGAAGAGAGCCTGAAATTTTGCAGTCTAGGCGGCATGAGGAACTAATGACGCTGTCAATATTCTTCAGTGGTTTAGTAAAGAAGGGAGGGAGAGTGCGATCTGTCAAAAGTGAAAAAAATGACAGAAAGGAACACATGAGCAAAATCAGTGCTGTTCTGTTTCTGGCTCTGTTGGGCACAGAGCAAAGCAACAGGGCTCTTTGCAAAGAGGTACCAACCTAGCACAGTGAAGCTGGTAGTACAAGAACTGATGCCCACATCATTGGATATCTCAAAGGTGTATTCACCACTGTCCTGCATTTCAGTGGCATAAAACTTGAGCTGGGCAATGTTATTTTTGAAGCTGATCCTATATTTTTTGCTGGCAGGTAGTGGCTTTCCATCTTTGAACCATGTGCTTTTCAGCTCTGGAGTGCCTGTGACAGTGTACTCCAAAATAGCTGGTTCCCCAGCTGTAACCTGGATCATTTCAGCTTTTTCAATTATTTTGGCAGGTTCTACAACAGAATTAAACAACTGGTGTTAAGGACAAAAGGAAATTTCTTCTCCTGTCAGGTGGGAGACTGCAGGGATCACAGCACTTCTCCACTGACCTTTCACTGCTAGTTCACCAAAGCAGGACTGACTTCCTGCATCATTCTCAGCCACGCAGGTGTATTTGCCACCAGAGCTCAGCTGGACTCCAGTAATTTGCAGTGTTGCTAGACCGTGATCAAATGACACTCTCACATTGTTATCATCTTTAATAATATCTTTGCCTTTCATCCATGTCACAGAAATAGGCTCTGACCCTTTCACCACAGCCTGTAATGTAACACTATCTCCAGCCAGAGCTGTCACATTTTCGATTTTCTTAACAAAAGATGGTGGTTCTAGTTCAAAGAAGAGAGACAAGAAAAAACATATTCATCTACTATTACATCATCACATAAAATCTGCTACTTAAAAAACAGTTTTGTAAGACAGTATGTGCACTACATCTTGCAATTCAGCAAAACAGCAGGTAAGTTGGAGAACTGTTTTCTCCATTAGCTGGGAGCTAATGGCCCATTAATCTAAATGTTCTTCAAATCCTGAGGTGTGATGCCAGATAAGATGGAAGATACACACAGAATTTCAAGAGAAGAAGATATTCTTTCTTCCCAGTTTCCCCAGCATCCCATAAATCCAAAGTAAAGACATTTTATGAAATAAGGTTTTTCCCAATCCCTTCAGTAAGAGGAGTTTTCTCTCTCCCACTGACCTTTCAAGATGTATGTGGCACTGCACATGCACTTCCCGACTTCATTAGCTATCACACACTCGTATTCACCAACATCTGCACTATTAAATGAGGACACCTCCAAAGAAATAACAGCCTTCTGAGAGGTCAACCTGTATTTTTTACTACTCCGAATCTGCTTCTTGTCTTTGTACCAGCTAATCTCAAAGGGTCCAGTGCCAGCAACCTCACACTGAAGAATGGGGTTTGTTCCCTTCACTAGCTCTGCAGGTTCAAGTGTTCTGATGAAAGACGGAGGCTCTATAAAAGCAGTAAGAAAGAATTAGTCAACCATGCCAAAAAAAAAATAAAAAAGAAAAAGGAAGTTTTTTCTCAAGAATGTGACTGGCAGCAACAAGAAGGACAGACCTTTGACAACCACTTCTGTGGTGCAACTGTCGCTTCCAACCTCGTTGACAGCTTCACATGAGTAGGTCCCAGTGTCATCAACTTTCATTTCCAAAATATCTAAGACAGCCACATAATTAACAAAGGACATCCTGTGCGTGTTACTTTCATGGATTTCCTTATTATTCTTGAACCAAGTAACCTGGATTTCAGGAGACCCTTTGATTTTGCATTGAAGACGTGCAGAGTCGCCTGGGGTCAGTAAATAAGATGGATCGACCTTCTTCACGAAGGATGGTGGTTCTGAAAATGGGAAGAAAAGTGAAGAGAGGAGAAGAGATGGTAAAAAGGGGAAGAAGGCGAAGAGGAAAGGGGAAGCAAAGGGAAAAGAAAGAAAGGAAAGAAAGCTGAAATACAAAGCTTTGAAAAATTGCTTCCCAGAGCAAGAACAAAATACAACTTCACAAGAGATCAGCATAATCTTTGCTGAGCTGTAGCTTCTGTGGTTTTTCTTTCCCTCTTCATCCATCTCTCTCCTGCAGGCAAGAGAAATTCTTGATTTTCTCTGGTGAAAGAAATATTGAAGTAACACACGGTGCACTGTAAGGCAGCAGGGTAAAAGACTTTACGAAGAATGGACCAGGTGGCAGGTCTGAGAAGAATTCACAATGTAATTACAGCCCAAAGAAGTCTTTTGCCTGTGAAAGAAGAACTGGGGAACCCAAGAAGACAAAAGATAAAGGGGGCATAGAGCTATCTTACCTCTGACTGTGACGGTGGCAGAAGAGGAGCTGCTTCCTGCCTCGTTTGAAGCAGTACACACATAGTGGCCTGAGTCCTTGAGCTTAGCCAAAGGAATCTCAAGTGAGGCTATTTTGTCTTCAAAGTAAATCTTATAATCTTTGCCTGGAGGGATTTTGTTTCCATCCTTTGTCCACACTACAGTTACTTTCCTGTCTTCATCCACCTGACATTCAAGGCGTATTTTCTTATTAACTGCTGACTGTACTGACTGCAAATCTTTAATGAAGTGGGGCTTGTCTATAATGACCATTTCAGTCTGGCAAATGTCAGCCCCAAACTTGTTGGAAGCTTTGCAAGTGTAAACCCCTCTGTCACTAGTGGTAAGAAGGGAAATTTCTAAAACATGTTTATTTTCCACTTTGCTTTCTGCCAGGTGATGTCGATGACTGGAGTGCCCGAAACAGTACACAGGAACTTGGCACTTTTGCCAACAAAAGTAGTAATAGGTTCAGGTCTGGTAAGAAACGTTGGTGGTAATGCCTCTGCAAAACAAAGGGGTTCAGTGTTATCAAGAGGTGAGGAACAGAGCCACATTTGCTAGGGACAGAGAGCAAGAGAGGCCAGCTTGTCACTGGACACTCTTCAGCAAAAGGAAACAGCAGTAAAGGAAACAAGAGGTGCTAAAGATGACAAATTTTGGCTATTGGTTTTGTACTTCTTCAGTCTATGTATTGCTCCAGAGCTTGAAGGCATTTTGAATCTCTGGAGCAATGTACGAACTAAAGGAAAACTAACAAAAAGCCAGAAATTCCTCCCCCAAGATTTACATGTTTGTGCACTGTTCTCTCAAGATGGGCAAGTTTGCTTGCATTTCACTGTTCATGGACTTTTTTCTACTCTCTAGCACCCAGCACTTAGCAAAGACCACATAAAGACTCCTCCCAGAAAGAGAAAAGTCATAATAAATAAGGTCATCACACAAGAAGCACCCAAAAGATGGTGGGTTTTTTTTTTTGTTTTAAGAAAAACAAAAGCTGTGCAGCTCTCAATAGACAAAAAGTTTGAAAATTTAAACCCTTTAAACCTTCTATTGTTTAAGAAGATCTGTTTCCCCAGTCACAGAGTTCCCCTTTGGCCACAGCACAAAGATGTTCAGGTATGCAGATCTGCATAACCTACGTCGCAAATGTAGTTGCAGGATAAATTTAAGGTGCTAGCGTAATCGCACAGTGACTATTACACCAAGAAATCAGATTTAAAAGTGTTTCTTTTCTTTTTTTGTGGTCTGGAAGTTAAATAAACCCTCTTCAAGAATGTATTCACAAAGCAATTTCATGTTGTTTCTTCCTGCTTTTTTTCTCCCTTCTTTCTTTCTTTCCCTCTGAAACTTTTTCACACCAATTCCCTTCTCTTCATACAGAAAGCACCTAAAAGCAGCATTCTCAAAAGTTATTCCTTTTCTAAGATTGTGCCTGCCAAAATTAGGTATGGACTATGTATTATAATGGCAACCAAGAGCCATAAACATGTGCAAGTATAGCAGTGAAAGCATTACAATACACCAAGATATTTTATGGAAAAGGAGAAGTGTTTGAAAGTCTGTACTTACCAGTTACCGTTAGAACAGCCGTAGAACTAACACTGCCATGCTGGTTGGAAGCCTTACAGCTATATTCCCCACAGTCAACAACTTGAGGCCTTGGGATCTCCAGTGTGGAGAGGTAGTTGGAGGTGCGAATGGAGTATTTGTCCCCGTCGTATATCTCTCGTCCAGCTTTGTACCACTGGAACTTGACATTGGGAGCCATCTCTACCTCACAGGTAAACTTGGCCACGTGATTTACAGCCACTTCCAAGGGTTCAAGCCTTCTCCTCAGGATCGGTGCAACTGAAATTAGAAGCAGACAGTAACTCAAAACTTTGCCTCCTGACATTCTGAAATTAAGTGATTGACTGACTGAAAAAAACCCAAAAAGGTGACATACTTGCAATTCACATAAAGTGACTGTAAAAGAAAAAAATATCTGTAAGAAAAGAAAGCAGTACTAGACTCAGTGGACAGACAGTCTTACAGTGCATAATCACATCAGGAAACAGTGGTGACACTGGAAAAACAAAGTGAAATAGCAATGCACAATAGCAACAGGATACAAATATAAAGTAATCTATCCTGGAGTTGTGAGAAATTATGGTGTGAATGAGAAATGGTGGTGAATTTGTGCAATGACTCTAAGGAGTGAGACAGGGTGCAGCAGTGAGAGAAATGGGAGGAGCAGGTCCACTTCTCAGGCAAGAATAGGATAAATGGTAGGGATTGAGATACAGCTTTGTCCTGACCATGCTAGTGCATTGAAACAACAAAGTTCCTGACCAAAGACTGGGGTAATGAAAGTGAGAGGCCTTGCAATGTGATAAAAGGAGACCATCATTCCAGAGAGAGGGGAGCCCTCTGATTAGTGGCATGATGGTATTAATATTGTATCTCTGTCCAAAGATACACTTAGAAGGGGAAGTTCATTAGTAGAGCAGTGCATTAAAAGGATTATTTTATCCCCATAATCCAACCTCTTTTAACAACTGTGAGTTTTGCTGCTGTTGCTCTTTTTCCACCTTGATTCAGCGCCTCACAGATGTACTCTCCTTGGTGAATGTCCCCACACACTTTGCTTATTACTAGTGTGTACGTGTCCTGATCTTGCAAACACTTGAATTTGTTGCCTGAAGAGACCAGTTTACCCTCAAAGTACCAGTTCACCTCTCTGACATTTGTAATGACAGACACCAGCCTGACACTCTCCTCTTCCTCCACAACAGTGTCAACCAGTTTGCTGTGTATGATGGGATAACTTTCTTTGCCCAGCTCATCCTCTTGCTTTCCAGCTCTAGTTTCCAGACCCTCTCTGACTTCTTCCCCACACTTTTCTTCCCTTTTCTCTTTTATTTTCAGTATTTCTGTGGGTGTCTTAGTAAGAACATCTGCAGAGGCTGCATCAGCAGTGGCTACAGCTGCACCCACATCCTTGATTTGACCATGCTCAGTCACAGTGTTGATAACTTGTGCAGACAAATGGTGTTCCAGTGGTATTTCTGGCTCCAGAGTCCTCTCAGCCTGCTGGGGCTCCAGCTCAAAGATTTCGTCACAGGATTTTCCTGAGAGAAGTGTACTGGCAGAGAATGGCAATGCTTTGGATTTTTCACCAGTCAGGGAACATTTATCTTCACAAAGAAAGGAATAGAAAACTTCCTTCAAGACTTTTTTCTGGTCAGCTGTCTGAATGTTGACTTCTCCCAAGGAGACTTGGATTTCCATGGGACTGCATTTTCCTGTGGTCACAACATATGTACACAAAGTATGTGTATTCTCCTTGGTGATGTTTATTGCCTGTACTTTAACATCTTCCTTATCAGCCAACCATTCTGAAAATAAGAGTTTTTTCTCACTTACCACTGCAGCTTTCAGTGCATTTCTGATTTGAGACTTTATGTCTAAGCTGCAGCTCTTGGGAACCAGAGCAGTGAGCTCACCGTCTTTGGAAAGATCAACATGTTCTTCCCCCATGGACTGTTTTTCTTCCAGCAGCAAGGGAAATCTCACAGCCTCTCCCTCATGTACTCTTGCAGCAAAATCTTCCTTTGCTGTTTCCAGGAAAGAAATGTTCTCCAGGGGGATAGTTTGGCCCCCAGTGAAGGCCAATTCAGAGAGAAACCTAGGTTCAGCCTTCCGCTCACCTTGTGTTATCTGAAAGGCCTCAATGATTTGGATTTGATCACCATCCATGGCATGGTTCTCAGTGGTGCTTGGCACCTGTAGAAGGGTTTGGGAAGCCTCTGTCTTCAGAGCAGCCAGTTGCTCTGCTGCCTTAGGGATGATTTTCTCTTTGGGCATGATTATCTGTGCAGCTACAATCCCAAGGCAGCCTGGCAGCTGTGTCTCCATCACAGCTGCGGGCACTGCGCCCTGGGGGCCAGCAAGGAGGGTTTGCAGAGGCTCTGCCAGAAGCCCACTGCTCTCTTGTATTGTGGCTGCCTGGGTGAACATCTCTTCAACACTCTGTGCTGCCAGACAGGTTGGTGGCAGGCCAGGCAAGATGTCCTCCCTGGGCAGCATGTATACTGCCTGGGTCATCTGGAGCTGAAGGAGGGTTGAAGGCTCCCTCATGGGCTCAAGACTCAGTGCTCCTTCCATTGCAGGAAGCTCACCAGCCTCCTCATAGAAAAGGGGGCTTTGGTCCTCTGCCACTGCAGAGTGCTGCAAGGCCTGGCTCTGCCCGCACACAACACGCTCCTTGGGCAGCACAAGGAGCTCAGCAGAGCACGTGGCCTCACCCAGGGCACTCACGGCCCTGCATGTGTAGAGCCCAGTGTCCTCCTCCACGCAGTCCCACACTGTCAGAGAACCCGAGCCGTCAGGGCGGTGAGCAATGGAGTGACGCGCATCAGAGAAGAGCTGCTCGCTCCCCTTGGACCACAGCACGTCGGGGCACGGCTTCCCCACCACTGTGTACTCAAAGACTGCCGTGAAGCCCGGTGCACACCGCACGCTGTCCGGCTCCCTGGCAAAGCAAGGGAATCCCGGCTTCCTCTGGCGCACGTGGAGCTGGGCGCTGCAGCTGGTCTCACCATGTACATTGCTGGCCACGCATGTATACTCACCCTCATCCTGCACCCCTGCATACGGGAGGATGAGGCTATGGTCATTGCCTGCAAATACTAATTTACAGTCTGTGCATGGGATTAGCTTCGTACTGTTGAGAAACCACTGGATTTTGGGTGTGGGGCTGCCAGTAACAGTAACAGAGAGCCTAGCTACATCTCCCTGCCAGACTTCAACATCTGAGACCTGTTTGAGGAAAACAGGGGCTTTGCCTTCGTCCTCAATTTTCATCTTTGCTTTGCTGAAATAAACTGGTTTTCCAAGCTCAAATTCAAGTGTTTTCTCTCTATCAGGCAACTGAAGGCCGCTGCTGTAGCCTTCATTTCTTCCTTCCTCAGAAGAGACAATAAGAGACCTAGTGATGTCTGTATGGAAAAAAATTGTTTAGTTTTACTAGAATATTTATGAGAACACTCATAGATAGCAATACACAGTGTTAGGGCAATTATTTTTCTGTAGCTGGAGGCTTTCTTAATACTATACAGCAGTTAGCAAAGAACAGGAGGCCTGTGCTGTCCCCTTGATGCCACACCTTAGTAAGACATGCTGTGTTGTCAGGTTGCTTAAGAATTTCCTATCTTGATCAGGACGGGTGTGTCTTTAAACCTGACATCACAGTATGGGTTAGGCATACTCCTCCAGAGTGCACTGTGCAAGTAACAATCAAGCAACATTGATGCATTTCACAGATATAATTAAAGTGGTATGTGCCATACATATTTGTATATACACCTATGCAAACAAGTACAGCAGAACAGTGCTAAGACCCTGATTTAATTCAAAACACCAAGAAAAAAAATCAGAATGACACAATTAGGAATGAATCCCCATCCCCCTCCCCCAAACCAACCAACAAACCCATAATCTTCTCAGCACACTAACCTTTCTTCTGATGCGAAGTTCATCTCTTTAAACTCTATCTTTTGTCTAGCACACCAAAAGATTACCTCCACCTCTACCAGATTTGTCCTGGTTTTGTCACTACACCCTTAACTTTACAGCATCATTATTACAAACATCACAAGTTTAATCTGTTGATTTAATATAATTGATTTAAATCTCTGCTTTTGATCTCCTCCTTGTCAAAATGCAGGATATTAAAACTCCCACAATGTGAGAGAAAATGAGAACAGACTTTTAAGATTTTTTGTTTTCTTGCCTTTGTGAAATAATAGATATATGCCTTGGACAACTTTAACTCAATAGTAGTTTCAAAATTAGAGGAAGCAGAGGTAAAGAACATCTCTGCAGATATTTGACAACAAAAACATCATAAATTTCCAGGAATGGAACAATTAATGAAAAGCATGGTGGAAGGAAAACCTTTGGAAATCAAATGCAGTTGTCCTCACTGAGTCAAGTTTGTTCAGTCAAGACCCAGAGTATTTGATGCTGGAAAAGATATGAGCTTAAAAGAAAGAATAAAAGTATGAGTGGATTAATGTCTCTAGGCACTGCAATGTTAGTAATTATTGGTCTTGCCACAAAAGACATAAGTGATATAGCACAGTTCAAGCAATGATTAACTGCAGAGAAGAAATGCTTAAGTAAAAAAAAATAATAAAGCAATCCTTCAGTGTTACTTATCAACCTTGTTAAAACAGTAATAAACTGTGCAAGTAAATTTGAGAATGGGTGGCAGAATTGGGCCAATAAAATAAATAAATAGATAAATAAATAAAATAAGAAATTGCAGAGTGAAACCCATGTTAACAAAGGAGAATGCCTTATACACAGGAGCATGGCAAAAATTAATGCATTTTTGTGTGTTCCTGGATATTTATGAGAGAAGAACTATACAGATATTTCTTCATATTTTAGATATGTTTGTAAAATGAATAAAGTGCAAGAAGCAATGGACTTAAATAATTCCATGTTTATTTCACAAATTAACCATACATGTTAACATTCAATATACATTGATGACAAATAGACATATTTAATTCTTTTTCTAAGATACTTGTTTAGAAATGAAGACAACATTAAATCTGAAATTAAAATGGTGAACTTTTGATTTCTATGAAAACACAGAATTTTGAAAAAAGATAGTCAAGCTATACCAGTTTCTCCAGACTAAGTTCATTCAAACCTAGGATTACTCCAGATTTAGTAATTGTAGTTTAGGTGAACCAGGTGCTCCTGGGTAATGTACAAAACTTAAACCAAGACTTATAAATTTACATAAATCACAAACATCACTACATGGGTAGATGCTTGGCCATATATTTCAGATG